AGTGCTATCTCATAGGGATTTTTCTCCCAGAAACGTTGTCTTCTGTATGTAACCTCTGTGTAGAAGTGAGAGATGAAGCACAGGAATTCTTTGTGCTCCGCTTGTCACTACCTTGAACCATTTAACCAGTCCTTGTTTTTTTTTTAAAGTCAAAGACACATTTGCAAGTTGCACCCTTAACACACAACACCTCATTGTCCTTTCTTGGCAGCTTTATCTGTGTTTTCTTCATTAATATTAGAATAACTTTGATTTATGAAAATGCGCTGCAAATAGAGGATTGACATTGCATGTGGCTATGATAAGGACTGCAAGAGACGTAGACAAATAATACATCTAAGTGACAACTCAGTTCTAAAATTTCTGTGAAAGTTTCTGTAAGTTATCCTATGTCTGTATAAAATATAAAATAAAAATGAGGTCTGGTTAAGAAAAAAAATGTGCATGTGAAATTTGTCACAAATAGCCAAAGGGATGAATAATTTTGTAATCTAGGGAAATTCAACATGAAAGCTTCCATTTCTTATCATTCTGCAATTACATATACATTTTATTCTGAATGGCAGTAGGTCTTAAGCATACCGAAAGGCTGCATCGCTATGCAAAGAATGCAGATTGTTGCTGCAAGTAATGACAGGAGAAATTAGCCAGGGATTGATTGTGCTGTGTGAAAGCAGTAATTTCTTCTTCACAGTACACCTACAAGCATGAAAATGCTAACCGAATTCATGATTAAGCATAACAGCCTTGCTTATGTCATACATAATTAATAAGCTCTACTAATAAAGTTAGCAACAAAAAAATTGAGAAGAAATTCAAGGGCAAAATAGAAACTGGGAGCACCTTTAGCACCATAAAATGTTGAAGCCTCAATGCATCAATTGGTGCCCCAGAGACAAGGAAGGGAAACCCAGGAAGCTCATTTTTTCTTTAGAAATACTAATGATATGAAACACAACACAAGTAGCTAACTTTCAGATTCACAGTTGCAGTGTACCCATTGTAAACAGATACTAATGAAAAACACAACTACAGCTAGCAAATGGGGATGAGAATTTAAGCAAAGAGCTCTAATTCCAACATTATCACTTTAATATAAATACTCCCTCCTATTGCATCTCTTACATTTTGGTTACATGCCAACAGTAGTTTAAACAAAAAAACATGGAATGAGAAACAGAAGAAACACCTCTCAGCATAGCTGAGTTGGTGCTGCCCGATCAGCTTTGATTATAGGATGATGTTAAACTCCTAAAATCAAGTATAGGAAAACAAAACTGGGTTCTTCTAAACTAATTTCATGGAGAATTTATTTCTGTACCTGTGAGTTCGTGGCCAACATCACAGACTACTGAAGAAACCAGGTTCACTTTTTGAAAGGAAGAATTCATGGGTATTGAATATTTCAGTGTAAGAAACACATTAAAAAAATCTGTCAGCATGTGAAACCCATCACCAGTAGAAACCGGGCAAGCATGTGCTCGGAGATGATCAACAGGACAAAACCAAACATCCCCAAGGCAATTCAAACACAGCTTGGTTGTAATACCTTAGGAGATTTCAGCCCCTGTCTGGCAACTAACAGAGCAAAGTAAGAAAATATTAACTTGGATCCTCTTCACAGATTTTCAGTAAAAAGTCTGGCTACTGGAACAAGAGTTTTCATCTTCCAGAATGTGCCATTTGGGGCAATAGCTTAATGGATTCCAACCAATATGCATAAATAGGATATTGACTAGATTCTGAATCCTAAAACAAAACCACCCAAAACAGAAAGAGATGAGGTTGTTTATATGCAACAGGAACAAATGTTATATTATTACTTCAAAAGCTGCAGTTTGAACGAATACCAAGTGCTTTCAGTGCTTGGGAAAGCTTTTCTTTCATTGTAAAAGAAATTCTAACATTGCCAGAAATTTTAGAATTCTGAAGGAAAAGTGATGCAGAACATTTTATTGATTTAAATTGAAAAATGCAGTAAGCACTCTACAGTGATGCACACAGGAAAATGTTACAGTTTACTCCAGTTTTAGCTTTCTCTTACATGGTAACTGAACTAAAGAAAAATAATTTCAGTTCTTAAAGTCTCTAAGATATTAATCACTAGAAAAAGAATTAAACTTCATCAGTGAAGGGAATTAGATTTCTGCAACTCAAAAGCAATTTAAAAGAACTACTGTATAAGAAAGTAGATTTTCCTTTTGCAACTGACCAAATCTTTGCTATGTTCATCTCTGTTTTACATAGGTCACATTTATTTGTCATGATTAATTTATTATTCTATGAATGAAGTGAAACATTTAAGAATTAATATGATGCATTTAGTATCACAGAACATGTTTTTGTAAGAGAATTTTAAAATCTGAGTAGGATACTCCTCCACCTTGGAATCCAGAAAGATCTGGGCAAAGATCCCTCTATAAAGTAGATGAGTGAGATGACAAAATAAAGTGCCTTCTCTGCTCACTGTGGCATATTACTGGCCCATCTACGAATTCCTTTCTACTAATCGAGGCCAACTATCAGCCCTGCCAAACAGTATACGTGCTGCCACCACAGTCCTTGAAAGTAAAGTGTGAGAGGTTACTTAAAATCACCAGAAGGCAACCAAAACCAAGACCCACAGGTCTGAGTTTAAATCAGACTTTTCAAAATGGCTACTTAATATCTAGCTAGATTGATCTTCCAGCGGACAAAACACAGTTCTTGCCTCCTGCAGTATTGCTGCTGACACAAAATGAATAGCAAAATAAATGAATATTCTATCTTTCTGCTAGAGCAAAGAGACTGAATGTACATTGAGTAAACTCACTCACTGACAAGGTGAGTTGGAATAATTTACACATGGCTATGAATAGCTCTGCTCTGATAATGCCTTGACTCATGCCTACAGAGACCAGCAGAGCCTGGATTGCTATTATCCATAGTGTGGTAGCCACCAGAGATGCTAGTGTAAAGATATTAAGGACTCCGTGAGAACAGATGCATTTCTCATGATTTATATGAAAGCATGCTATACAGTTAAAACACCGTATAAACACAAAGCCCATAAATTAAACCTGACCATTATACATCTACATAATCTAGGACAACTCTCATGGGAAAAAAACACTGTATGAAAAAGTCTGTTCATCATTCTACACATACAAAATCATAAAAGTTGATACCAAAGAGAAATATGGTAAATGAAACCTTGCTGTGGTAGAACATAAAACTCCTGAAAATGCAGTAAACCCATTCATCTATCTATCCTATTCTTACTCATATACATGTTATTTAACATTAGTACTGCAGAACAGTTCGGAAATGAACTTATGTTAGGTGCTGCCTGACTTACATGAATTTCTCCCACCCTTTCAGAGTTTAATGTGTAAGTACTCTATCAGGTCCTCAGTGACAAAATCTCTCCATCTTCTTTGACCTCAAGAGTTCTTTCTATATGCAGTTTGTTGAAAAAGCTATTTTTGAATCAAATATCCATCACACAGTTATGAATGCACTAACAATACCAAACTATATTAACCCTTGCCATACCTGTTCCCCTGTTACAGAAAGCTATTGAGATTTAAAGACTTTAATAAGAATTTGATTAACAATTTGAAAGGTGCAGTTCTTTGAAGGCCCATTTTTTTTTTTCTGATTAATTTAACAACAAAATCCCACCAGATTATGAATTAGAACATTTCTAACACAAGAAAAATAGCTGTGGTAGTTGAAACCATCGTGTTACCATTTTCCTAGTGTGAACGCTTAAAAATGCAAGCAACTTCAACAACAAATGCAACAGCACATATCCTTCAGCAAAACAAGTCCAAACAGAATTGAAAATTACTTGATCCAAAGGAAAACGAGATCTTCTTGAGAGAGAACTAGGTGTTCTAGAAGGTAAAACACATGCTCTCACAGTCAGTCAGTCAGGACACGCAAACAGGAGCTTTGAGGGACCTTTAATCAGTTTTTTCAGGGAACAGTCCTGAAAGAATATTATATACCAGAACTATGAAAAGTAACAACAGTTACAGCATTTCCTTTTGGAAGAAGTCAAGCAGTACCACCACCAACTACAACTACAGAGAAGGAACTTCACCACTTCTGGCCAAAATAATCAATTTCAAATTTAAGCCCCAGCCATCCGATCCCTAGATGGAACAGGATCAAGCAGTCTAGGTTTTATAACCTCTTTCTAATTATCAGTCTTGAGGCTATTGACTGTTTAGAGATCAGTAACAATAAGCCTCCTCTTCCTGAGGCTTCGGCAGAGTCTCTGTTTGACAATAACAAGACATTAGGGAAGCCCTCATGGAAAAAGAAAACATTTTTAAAACCTAACAGATAAAACAAACTGCTTCTCCCTCCTCCATATCCATTTGCTAGAAGGCAATTTGTATTTACTGATTTTGTGAATCTGCTATTATTTGTGATATACAAACTGTCCCCTCTAAGGACAGACTGGCATCTAATTAAGTGGTTTCAATCCTCATCTTTGCTGCCATCTGTAGGTAACGTGGAGTGGTACAAAGGAGACAAGAAGCAAGTTTTAACCTGGCCAGGTATCAGTCCTGTGATCAGGACCTGTGTCCATAAGAAAGCATGGTGTTCCTGTTACCTGTCCCTCCCGATGTTAGTGTTAAAATTAGTCAGAAAAAGAGAAAACATTTAAGAACTTGGCTTTGTCTCCCCTTGTACCTCAAAGAAACTCTGCAACTGAAGAAATAAAAAAATAAAGAAGAAAAATCAAGCTGAGGATCCATGCTATTTTACAGCACTGTTACACCATGGTACGCACTGGAACACCTGCAGTTTTGACTATAAATATGGACTATAAATATTACTGGGAATATGTCTGGTAGCTGAAACTATCTTTTTCAGTGGGATATGCAATATTTTAGCAAAACTGTTACTGTAAAGAAAACTCTGCATAAGAAAGATAAGACAAAAGCAAATAAGTTGATCTTGTTTTTAAATCCATTATGATGGATTACGGAAGTCTGAAATTAAACAAGTGAGGCCAGAAATTTAAATATTTTATTTAATGACTGCACAAATCTAATACATAAAAATAGATACTTAGTAATGAACAAGTTTATACAAACCAGATTTCTTTTGTACGGTACAAAACAATGATGGAGATAAAAAAAGATTTGCTGGATTACAGGGCAAGACAAGAACAGCAAAACATCATTGAATAAAAGTTTTAAAATGATCAGAGCTTATTTCATAAATACAGTGCAATGCTTTCATTTAACAAATACAAAATTTACTATTTAATTTATCAACATCAGGAAATATATAAAATGTCATTGAATGACAATCTTATTTAAAAACTGATGCGAATACAATAGCCTTTTTAGAATTCTGAGGTAATATTACACAGTAAACCAAAAAAGCTTCCATAAATAAAACTAAACCCAAGGCAAAGTGCAATTCAGTGAAAATAAGAAGATAAAAGCTTTATTTTAACAATAATAGATAAATAGTTATTAAAAGTGGGCTTATGCCATAAAAAAATATTTTGGCTAATTTGCCATGTTTTCAGATAAACTGTATAGCTATTTATTCATAAGCCAAACACCCATGAAACCAATTCTACAGAGAGGGGAAGGGGGACATGCCTTTGTTTCCAGATTTCTTACCTACTTCCACATTTTGCTATTAAAAATTTAACACTGCTTGAAGCCATTTAGTTCATTCAGTGCAATGGTGAAAGATTCATTTATTTCTAAATATCTGACATCTGATGAATCAAAATTTATTAAAAAAAATCTACATTTGGGAAACCAATATAAAATGCACAAGTGCAAAGTGCTGCTTTTAACACCCTCCATGCTAACCTAGTTTTCTTCCAGGCTAAAGTCAATGGAAGCTTTCAGATCAGTTTCAAAGAGAGCACAATGAATACAATGACAAATATTTTAAAATATCCTACTATTTATCTCTGCTTTAATAAAACAGTAAAATCACCAGTACCTTCTCTATGAAAAAGAATAAAATTTACATTTAGCTATTGCAGAAAATCCACAATGGCTTTGAAAATATGAATTAGGAAGATTAATTTGTTCATCATATATAAATATGTTGGTTATATGCAAATAATACAGAAAGGGAAAACAAGAATAGTAAGATATTTTACTCTTATTGCAAATAAGTAATTGAGTATAGACTCCACAAGATACTTAAGCATCCATACCCCAGAAGATCAATGTGGATAGCTGACAGATGCCAAAGTGCCTTGAATGATCCGGGCCTCATTCAGCTAAAAGAAAAATCTATAGAACACACAGCAGCTATTCATATTTAAGAAAGTACTGTACTGCATGCTGATAAATTCTTTCCATTTAATGAATAAAACCCAGACTTATAATTACATCTGCATTTTAGAACCAGTTTTTTTCCCAGCTCCTAATCACTAACTCAGAGCAGGCACACCAAGAATTCTTTTCATGTAGCTTATGCAGTGAAAACCACAAAACATTGTCTTTAAATGCTGGCCTTCAAGTTAGTGAAAGCTTCAACATTCTTCAGAAATGTTATTGTACTCACTTTTGTCACAGCTTACTTAAGACTTTTAAGAAAGTTGCTGAAAAAAAAAAAAGCATGATATACTTTCAGTTTTCCATGTGTTGTAGATTTAATTCTTTTCCTGAAGTATTTCACCATATGTAGAATGTATTTTAAATATCTAGTTCCGTTTACTATAACGCTACAGTAGATCTGGTTAGTTTGCTGTCAAAGAATGAACACACAAGCTGCTTAACACCTGTAGTTTGAATCTGAATCCCCTCAAACTGAAAAAAGTTTTCACTTTTAACACTCTTGTACAGCCAAGTGTAAAAGCTGAATATAGAACATCCAAAACCTCTTATTTATAAAAAAAATGATTTTTTAGCAGTAAATGGCACTATCAAAACCCTATTTTTTTCACAGGCAGTTATTTACATGCTTCTTAGATAGCCTGTTTTGTTGAGAAGGAAAACCAGAATATTAAAACTGCATACATTTTATAAAGACTAAAATTCCTACTTGCCTTTGTGAAAATATGGCTACATGCTGTATGTCGTATTTTTTCTTATTATTCATGTTAATTGAAAACATTCTACCACTGGGATTAGCTAATAAAGAAATATTCTGTATACTATATCCCAGTAGGATACCTGCAATATAAAGCAATTATGATTAATGATAAAGTGCTATTAAATAAAACCAGAAATAAACTATAACTTAGAAATTGTCTTAGGTTTCGTTTATCAAACTGACTAGCTTTTTGTACAAAGAAAGCTACTTTCTGTGACAAAGCAAGCAGTAAATGTATTGCCATTCAGGAAAAAAATACACTTCATATTTAATTAAAAGAAAAAATCTACACTAGGTAAGACTGGCACAGTATCAAGAGACATAACAACAAAAAGCTTAAAGGCACAATCAGAAGAGTGAATGCTACATAAAAATGCTGTTCTTGAAGTATTTCATTTTATTCTAGACCAAACCCCTCAGCATTTGAAATTCCAATGATCAACTTCTGCTTCAGTTCCTTCTTGTTCTTGTAAGGAGGGAGACAAAGCTGGTTGAAGCAGGTATGGGCCACAGGTAACCTAAGATCATTAAAACAAGCCCCAGTAAAACAGATATCATAATAATACAACAGTAGCAGAACACTGCCAACTGCCTACATGTTTTCAGTTAAACATTACTTGAATAAGAAGCCCTGTAAAAGGGAACATTTATCCTTATGTTGTTGGTTCAAGTTCTGTTGAACACAAATAACATTGCTGGTGGCCATATGCATCTCAAGTGAGTTTGCCTGGAACTGCCTGCCTTTCTTTTTTTTGTAAGTCAGCAACATCTCCTTCAAGGTTTTGGAAACTTCTGGTACCACATGACTTCAAAATCAGTTTTTTCTCCAAACACAAAATCTGAGTATAATCAGAACCCACAACATGAAGAAAGAAGGTGGGTCCTGCATTAGGAATAAAGGCACCTAGATGAAACAAGGATATGAAACTCCAAGTTCAGGTTGGTAAAACACTCCCCTACAGACACATGCCTCAGTGCAAAGTACTGAGGAGCTGATTAAAGCCCTGGAAAAACAACAGTTCATAAATTTTCATCTTAGCCATATCAACACCTTCAGCTGTGAGTTTTTTCTGAGAGCTGAGTTTGGATACATATTGCAGATACCTCTTAGGATTGCCTGACAAACACTAGAAACTACACTCACTTGAATGGATTAGTTTGACGAGAACTGTTCTTCACTAGCAGAAGCATTTGTTTTGCTATCAGTATGAGATGCCACTAACATCCTGCTTCATAGCTACAGGCAATAACCTATGTGATCTTTTTGCCCTTTATATTCTCAAGTGACATACAGAACAACACTGAGGATATAGACTTGTCCTTGTCCTACAACTGATTACTTGTGGGGAGAGAGGAGAAAGACAGTGACCTGGATCTCAACCTGAGATTTGGAATTAACCCAACACTGAACGATTTCTAAAACTTGGACACTTAAAACTTTTTAGTAGGTGACTCAAAATCTACTTCTGTTTTCATTAAAGCTCTTAAATCTTTTGAATGGCAGCATCTTGGCCTTTGGTCATTAGCAGATGTTCTTGAAAGCGGGTGGAAGTCCCGCAGATTTGGATACCCAATCTACTTCCCCCCTCCTCGCCCCTTAAACAAGCAAGCAAAAATCTATTATCAGACTGGAGTCACGTGCTTCAGAATTTGGAAAACTGAGAAACTGGATATTCATTTGGCAATTCTTATTGCTGTTATATTACTTGATCCTATTGTGCGAGCAATGCAATGCCACCATGCCTACATTCATCCCTGCACAGGCAGTCTGACTGCAACAATTATCTTGCAAAATACAGACCCTACATGATTTTAAAATGCATGCTAGTTCAAAACACTCTTTCCCATTTTTAAGAAAAAGAACAATTTACAGGAGAATGGACTTAACAGATTCAAGTTGGTTGATTTTTCTTTATTTTTCATTAGATATTAATGTTCCTTTAACATGTTACTGGAACCAGTTATTAGCTCATTGAATAAAGCATTATAAATACCACAGTAATGAGATAAATCAAATTTAAAAACAACCCCAAAATTTATTTTGTTTATGCATTTAATTCAGCTCCCCACAGAAAACCCAACAAAATTTTGTCTAAAAATATAGTTCCATTTAAGTATTTTGATTACCCTAAATGTTTGAGAACTCTAGGTAAAGCCAGTAATTACTGCTTAGCAGCAATTACTGCTTAGCAGTGGGCTTTTCTATACAGCTTTCCAGATTACTTAAACTGACTTTCTAGAATCTTGAGAAGGAAAACAGTAGCTGGGACATACATAGAATTTCTTGAGTCAATTCAATACAAAATAAACCACTACCAGAAACATGAGAACTTGGCACGAACAATTAAACCTTCACAACAAAATTACAAGGCTACTTTGATGCTGTTTCTTTGGAGCAACCTGTGTATCAGGTGTATACTCAGCAGAGACCCTAAAGAAATGCTACAACTTCTCAGCCATACATGTTAAAACTCTTCTTTAGACCATCAAGAAGGAATGCAAGCATTTTCTGCATCTTCGGGGGCTACTATACATAGTGATAGACTTGAATTCAGAAAAATTCATGGTGATTCACAGTATATTTCCATTAGCTCAGCAGTCATGTTAGAAATAATAAAAGAAGGGATCTCTACAAATAAAGAATTCCCAGCCTCAAATGTGAACACTGACTGAAGAATCAATATTGTAATAGATGGTCACCTGCAGAATTTATGCAATCAATAATAACATTCTGAAGACAAACTAAAGAAGTCCATGCAGTTTCTTCCTTATATATTAGCTTCCTGCTCTTTAAAAAACACATTCAAGAGCAATAAGGGTTCTCAGGAAATAATGTAACAAAAAATATTTAAACATCCAGAATATTACTTACCAATTAGTGGATGTTTCACTCTTTGAAATTTTGAAATTCAAGTCAGCCATTCCTCCCACAGGTACTCTATCACTTCCAGTAGCAAAATGTAGCAGCTTCTTTTGAAGGTCAAGAGAAAATCCAAGCACTACATCCCAAAAGTATCTATGTTCAGGGCAGAGGGAGAAGAAAATGGTGTAAGATGCAATATCATGACAAAACGCTATGAGGATAATACAACCACAAGTACTACATGATGAATGTCACTTACTGAGAACTTATTATAATATATAGGACATCAGTATTATACTAAAATGTAAGGTTAAATGAATCCCTAGGGACTGGACAAGTAAAATGTTTTAAAAATTCTGGAATGTTTTCTTGTCAAACGATGCCCAAGCCTGTTTTTCTATAAAAATACAAATGCCTTCTACTAACTAATACAAGCATCCTTAGTATTAAATAGACTTGGAAGAGAACAAGCATTTTTAGAAGTCTGAGTTTTATTTCTGTTATCCAGACTTCACTAGGCAGGATTTAAAGCTACTCTTTTCAAACTGTCTCCATTTCAATCTCATTATAGCCTTTTAAAGGTATCCAGCAACACATTATGCCATGAAGGATCTAACTCTTCCTACTTGCAGATAATTTGTGTCTTTGTCTTATTTGGAAATAGTTTATAAAACTTCAATCATTCTCAGATTATTCTTGCGGAGATTATTCCCAACCTAGTCTACCATTCTATGATGTTTTTAAACTCAGTAATTACAAAGAAAAAAATTAAGCCTACCGTATAGTGAGATCAGTTTTTTGGTAGCCCTCATATTGGGTACTCCTCTGTAAAGCAGACATATCCAGTTCAGGACTGCCACAGACAAGAATTTCAACCTCTTCTGGACGAAGTAACTGCCAGAATTAATTTATTTTTTTTTAAACGAGAAATGATTCTACCAGATTCAGATACTAGATCTCATAGCAGCCTTCCAGTATCTGAAGGGGGCCTATAGGGATGCTGGAGAGGGACGCTTCATTAGGGACTGTAGTGACAGGACAAGGGGTAACAGGTTAAAACTTAAAGAGGGGAAGTTTAGATTGGTTATAAGGAGGAAATTCTTTCCTGAAAGGGTGGTGAGGCACTGGAATAGGTTGCCAAGGGAGGTTATGAATGCTCCGTCCCTGGCGGTGTTCAAGACCAGGTCAGACAAAGCCTTAGGTGATATGGTTTAGTGTGAGGTGTCCCTGGCCATGGCAGGGGGGTTGGAACTAGATGATCTAAAGGTCCTTTCCAACCCTAATCATTCTGTGATTCTATGATTCAATTTTTCTTTTGGCATTACAGAAAAAAATAATCTCATTCAATATAAATCTATAACATAAACTGTTTTATAGAAAAATTAATTCCTTTGTACTTTAAAGAATCTTACTACTGTATATAGTAAAAAGCAAATTACTGGATAACATAATATTTTAATACATTTCTTTTTTTCCTCACTGTTTCATTCTAACCTTTATCACACTGACTCAATTGCTGTATGATTAGATTACAAATGGGTCAGGAAGAAAATTAAGTTTGTACACATATGGAATGCAGATGGAGAGTCCTGATCTCAATTTCAGCTACAACTCCCATTCCATTTACACTGAAAAGTCCCAGTGTAGGTTGCTTAATAGTGGTGGTTGACAGAACTTGACTTTTAGTTGTACACACTGCTGCGCAGAGCAAACACACATAACAATAAACTGTGTTTAACAACTGCTAAAGGTACACCTGCAGAATCTATTTATTAATTTATTACAACATTGTTAAATTGCATGGGAACACATAATGGCACTTCAGTGGATTTTCATTCTCCTTCCAGAACCTTCCCTGCAGTTAGTCCCATTTCACTTTGCTGAAAGTGTGTCATATGCGGCTAATTTCACAGGAATGAAGCAAATCTCATGGAAATTGCAATTTTCTTTCTCTTCTTACTGTACAGGGCATGATGTAAATTACAGAAGGCATTCCAACCACCAAACAGAACTGAATACAGAAGAATGTTTAATCTCAACCTCACTGTGTGCTCTGCCTGCAAAAAATAATATGCTTTTTCAGAGGAGTCACTTAAGAGCACAGACACAGTTGCTCTGCTGTTTATAACTGTAGGGAATACAGAGAATCCTTGTAAACATGCACATGAAGTGTCTGTGAATGCATACTAATAAATCTAACCTGTGGAGCTTTATTTATCTGCTTTCAATGGAACACTATGGAGAACAGCTGGATTACCTGCTTAATTTCTTCTGTTTACGTTGAATTAATGAACTACGTTGATTAATCAAAATTATTCATGAATCCTAAAATTATCCAGTGTAATTTGTGTAATTTAGATGTCATTGTCACATATTTGAAATAGAAAAGTTACATTTAATTTTATTCTTACCAGTAATGCATATGAAGCACAGACACTATGAAATCCGTAATAGAAAGCTGCAAATTGTTTGTAGATTGATTTGTTGATAAGAAAATCAACATAGAGCTGCACATACTCTAAAAAAGAAAAAACATTTTATTTTGTTTTACAATATAATAATTTTCAATAATCATTTGTTGTGCTCTCTCAAATTATACTGCATTAAGAAAAATGGATACATTCCATTTTAGTTACTACAAAATTGGTAGGCATACCAGAAAGGGCCTACAGTAATTTCATTTTCACACTTTGTTAAAGAAAACCTAGGCTTATAAAGAAGGAAAAAAAGGACAAACTTAAACCTGACAAATATGTGTAATTAATATGTACTGAAGTACCTTTCCTATTCTGATTTGTGACTGGGATTTTATCTCCATTTGGCTTTAAGTTGTAAGATTTTATAACACCAAATTCTTCCTGAAAAACCTGGAGAAAAAGAGGAGGCAAGTTCAATACTGGAAAATACATTTGTATACCCACAAATTACAAAGCTTGTATTTATTATTTCATGTATTTCCTCCACCTCTCTCTTTAGCACAAGCTGTAATTCTGAGGGTTGTGGGGTTTTTAAAAGTTAAATATTACAATTTTCAAAAATTGCTCAAGAAATTGGTATTCAAAGTAGAAAAACTGACCCTGTTACACAGTGCCATATCAAACCAACCTGCAGGCTCTGAAGCCACAGAGTTTTTAACAGAAAAGAACAATTTTGAAGCATCACATACAATTAAGAAGGTACTTGTTGCACTGCAGCTCACCTAGGAACTCAAAAGTACCCACTTAAAAATTCTCATATGGTCTGATAATAATGTAATTCAAAGCCAAGGTAAAAAAAAGGTCAGTACTAGTCCAATAAACATTCACTAACCAGCAGGAAATTTTACTAACTGGTATGTGTTCTAAAACAATGAATAAATGAAAAAGGCTTTCTTGATTGAAGTAGCAGTTAGACATACAGGTCAGGCAAAATTACTGTAATTTGAACAAGCTATTGTTCAAGGCAGATTTCCAGGAAAAAAGTATGTAAAATAACCAGAGCAAGCTTTGGCTAGCATCTCAGTTCGGGAAAGGAGTTGTTTTGCAGCCAAATAATTCCACAGACAAGGTCATCAACTGCAAGGCAATTTCAGATCAAGCAAAGAGCTGGAAAAGCACCAGCAGCTGGCCATGCGACCCTGGCAGTCAGCACTCAGATCAACCTGCACTGCCAGGGAACAACAGCTTAAAGCCTCTAAAGGGAACCAGCATCTATATGCCTTGATGCTCCAGGACTAGACTAGTCATGAAGGAAGCTTTAACGTCCATGCAATTATATTCCAAACAATCAGCAATCACAGAGTCGTAGGCCACTCCACTGCAGAAACATTGGTAAAAATTACTGACCGAGTTTGAGAATCACTTATAATTGTGTATTTAATGACCTGAAAGGTTGAGTAAAAGTCCTCTTCAACATTGCCCTCATAGGATAGAAGTTCACTTAGTCCATGAGCCAGTTCCTACAACATGAATAAAAACTCTTCAGTAAATCTACAAAACTAAGTGATGCACTTTGCAAGGATGTGCCAGAATCACTACTTTATACAGAAAGGATTTTGGGAAAAGCTGTATATTCAAAACATGTACACAAATAAAATTCACTGCTTAATTAATGTATTTGTTTATTTTTATTTAAGTACAAACTCACACTTTTACTATGGAAAATGTACCTAGAATACTTGTATCATATTTTGGTATTCTAACTTCAAGCAGATCAACAAAAATTCTGCTATGCTAGAAAACATGAAGGATTTCAGAAGAAAAGGCAACTATCAGCCTGCACTGGAAAAAAAAGATGTTTTCAAACAGATTATAATTCAAACATTGAATACAAATAAAACAGGTTTCAAATCAGTAATTTTTAGCCTCTTAAAAACATTATACTTACAGGCATAATCTGAAACAGGTCATCTAATGTGACAGCACAGATGCCTACAAGTGTGTTATGATCACAGGGAACAATGGGAGGACTCAATAATTTCTTGTAACAGCAAGGTGGAAAACGGATATCCAAAGTGATGCTATTATACACAGCAAGTCCCATAAGCTATACAAGTGAAACGTTAAGGGCAAACTCCACACATCTTTATTATAGTTAATATTTTAATGAACTTGGAAAAATATTTTAAGATTTTACTTAGCATACTCTAATACACGCTAAACAGAAGGAATTGCATTTATATTTGTTTATGACTGATAATTCTAACTGCAGTTCTGTACTATAATTAAGTAGTTGTTGAAGTGGTCAAATGATGCACGTTGACAGAACACTTGATAATCTTTTTCATAATATTCTATACAAGCATTTCCAGAATAAATTATTAAAAGTATTGTTATGAAAAAGGTTTTTAAGCAGAACTTCAGATATCTATTTTTTATCCCAAAATTCTAGAGAGAGCTCAATATAGTATGTTTATGAAAATAAATCTAAAAGCATAAAGACAAACCCGCACTGGCACTACAGCTCATCAGCTAGCACATTTAAGTGTACTCATGAAACAAATCTGAAATTATACCAAAAAATTATACTGACTAGATATAGTCACATAGATATAGATACACTAGAAGTGAATAGTTCAGTTGGAAGAGACCTACAATGATCACTTGGTCCAACTACGATCAGTAAAGCTGGGACATCACCATCTCATCTTGATGTAGTTATAATAATATCATTAATCATTTGTGTCTGAGAACTTAATATATGAGTGCAACAGAAAACCTATGAAATAAACTTGCTTTCAAAATAACACATGGCTTCCATTCAGTTACAAAAAAAAGAGGTGTAAGTACATACATCTTGATTTTCTGACTGTAAAATGTACCATGTACCCACATACCACCATTTGCTTCCTATTTTTAGTTCACTTGCTTCTATGACATTCTTTTTATACATTTAAAATGGAACACGCTTGTATATACAAAACTGAATGAGCTTTAATTGATGCCTTATTTCTCCCCTGCACCAAGTCATTTAACGACTGTGTGCTTAGTACTGTTTAGCACACATAAAAGGATACAGCTCCAACCAGTCTGAATTCAGAATAGTTATCACACTTAAAGCTGCTGAACCAATGGCAGTGTGAGTCCTTGTGGTAGGTGAACATGCCTGCAGAACAGGAACAGTGGTCTTTACAGAGCCTGAGCTTCCATAAAAAGTCATACAAAACCTCACCTTTCTCAAACAAGCAACTTTAAGAGTGCTTCTAGGAGCACCCTTATCTCCACACTTGTTCTGAGCCCATCTTCCCACCCACATCAGGAGCCTGCAGGTGCTTGGGTGAGAACCATGAAGCGTAGTGCCAAGACACCAAAGCAGGCTCAAGCCCTTCAGCCCTTTGGGGTGAAAGAAACCAAAGTTCTTCAGTGCCTCCAGTCGTGCATATTCTGCACTGTCTCTGTGCAATCCGTTTCTTCACTGTACTTCATCATCAGGGCAGCCAGAAATGTTAACTGTCTAACCAAAAATTTTCTTGCTGCAATGTAAACCATTTCTTCTTCCCTTTCTGGGTCAATAGCAGATGACAGTCTTTAAAAATGCTGGCTGGAGCACCATAGTACAAATACCATAAGATTTACCTTCTTAGAATAGAAAGCTCTAAAAGGTTTATCTTATACATACACTAGCAGCAAAGGGGTATGTTTCATATTTTCTGTCAAAAAATATCAGAGAAGTAAAAAAAAAATTACAAAAAATCAAAACACAAATACCCTAGAAAAGCCACTCACTGGTCTAAATGACAAGCTACATCTTATTGAAATCATCACTATAGACTAGTCTGACTGCTATTTGTGGACCATTCTGTTTTAAAGAGTGATAGAAAGTAAAAACCTATGTAATGAAACCACATACCAGCTTTCCGATGCCTAGATGTACTGGTCAGAGAAGCAAGAAACACTAGTTAAGTGAGCACTAACAGTGAAATTAACTTCAGAAGTGCAGTATATTGGATAAAATGTGATAAGTGGTTTTAATTTGTTGGGACTGAATGGCACAACAGTTTATTATTGTTTCCACAGTCAGTGTACAAACCAAAGCACTGAACAGCTCTAAGAACATATTGTAAGCAGTAGCTCACTGCATCTGTGTTTGAAGATGAAGTTGGGGAAAAATAATATTTAAATGAAAAATCAAACTCCTTTGGATTAAAAAAAAAGAAAAAAGAATAAAAATCCAAATGATGACTCAAGGACATCTAGGTCTTATGAAAATTTACAGGTAAAACTCTGCCTTCATATTCCCTCCTCCGCTACTCTCCTGAACTTCATCTTTTGAACTTTAGCTCAAAAAGGTGCTCATCATAAAAGCTTTAGACAATGCCTTTACAAGAAGCAACAAAACAGTTCCATATAAGGACGAGCAAGGTTCACATATACTGAAAGATGGCAGTGATGCTGGAACAAAACAGATCTCATATACCACTTATTAATTGTCCACACTGAGACAAAGAAAGCACTGTAACAAACAGGAGGGCAGACAAATAAGTTAATTGGGAGTTCTTTAATTTTAGGAGTTATATCTGCAGCTAACCTGCAAAGGATAATAACAGTGATGTTTTTCTATGGTTTTCCTTCCAAGCTTCTGACATACATTATTTGCAACTTAAACATTAAAGACAGCAGAGTATACAGTCCTTTTCCAAGGGACGAGAACATTTCTGAACTCCTCCTACACTTGGCTGATAGATGTATCAATGAAAGAATTTACACTTTAAACAAGGAAGTCTGCCAGAGCAGGTGAAAAAAAATAATTACTCACAAGCGTTTCCAAACTCATCAGTTGCCAAGCTCTGTTGACAACACGTTTTTACTAACAGAAATGTAAAACTTACAAAATGCTTTCTCCAGGATAAATTATTTCCTATAAAGGTTATCACCAATGTCATTTCTCCACACAGCAACCTTTTTACTAGAAAAAGGGTTATAGGCAAATAATGACCTCAGCAGATTTGAGGATACATTTATGACTTAAAGCTCTGGACCTTTAAAAGGAGTCCTATAAACAACAGAGTACCACGCATTCAAGGGACATAAACACTTCCAGCAAAGACAGACAAGCTCTTGCATTCTGCCAATGACTATCAGGTGTTATGCTGAAGTCCCTGGAAATCAATGCTTCTAATTTAAGAGCCAGCCTGGAAGTACTTTAACCCATTATAACATCAGTAATTTCTCCATGCACAGCTGAGGAAAGCTGACTCATTTGAGAAATATTAGAGTGGGGAAAAAGCCCTGACCCAAATCCATCTAGAACAATATAAAACAAGAAGATTGAACTGCTGATTTGTGAATGCTAATTCATGTCTTCCCATCTCCTACCTACTCAGAAAATCCTTTTTTTTTTTTTTTCATTATGGGCTCACAGGTCCTGGTAACAGCAGAGGCAGGCTATTTCATTCTGTCTCACATCAGCCTATACCATCCTTGTACCTGACTGAAGGTCCTTTCTCTTCTGAGAGCATCTCAGACCACTTTTAAGAATACTGGCTATACAGATACCCCAAGCAGAATATATCACATCAAAGGTTAAACCTCTACCGATACTAATCACAGAAATAGTGCTAGAACTTGCAGACTATCAGTGCAAATGGAAACCATTGATACATGGGAAGCCAGAGTCAGCAGTTTACCAGAACTGAGCACAGAAACAGCATCCAACTGTGGCTACTTACAAAAACAAGGAAAACTAGCAATATGAAGACAGTTGAGGGCAATGTAAAAACAGAAAATGCAGTATGAGAAGAAAGAGGCAAGGATGGCAGTGGCATACAAATAATTTTGGTCTTATCTCCACTTCAAAATTTGATAAACCATTGTGTTGCTTTTGGCTGGGATAGAGTTAATTTTCTTCATGGTAGCTAGCGCGAGGCCATGTCTTGTATCTGTGCTGAAAATGGTGTTTAGTTTAGTTACTGCTGAGCAGTGCTTACAGGGTCTAAGTCTTTTCTGCTCCTCACACCACCCCACAGTGAGTAGGCTGGGGGTGCACAAGAAGCTGGGAGAGGACACATTCAGGACAGCTGGCCTCAACTGACAAAGGGATATTTGATGCCATATAATGTCTTCTCAGCATATAAAGCTGGGGGAAGTAGGAGGAAGGGGAAGGTTTTCAGAGTGATGGCGTTTTGTTTTCCCAAGTAACCTTTACATGTGATGGAGTTTTGCTTTTCTGGGGATTGCTGAGCACCTGCCTGATGACTGGAAGTATGAATGAATTCCTTGTGTTGCTTTGCTTGCATGCATGGCTTTTGCTTTACTTATTAAATGGTCTTTATCTCAACCCACAAGTTTTCTCACTTTTACACTTGTGATTCTCTCCCCCATCCCACTGGGAAGGGGGGGGGGGGGCAGTGAGTGAGTGGCTGTGTGGGGCTTCGTTTCTGGATGAGGTTAAACCATGACAACCATCTATTTCAAAGGCTGCTGTATGTCTCTTCCTATTTTGGAACAAGAACATCATATTCCAATTGCAACCAGACAACATATTAAGCTAAATGGAATAAGCTTATTTTTAAATCCTAACATATGAATTCACACATATATTCTAGAATATTTCCAAGGGCAGACAATTGTCAGTGATTCAGTGGCTTGCATTTTGCTTATCCTTTTTAGCTTGTTATTAGGTCTAGCAATTCACTAAAACTCATAGAAAACTTTAATAAATTTTCTATTCAGAAGAGATATGGAAACAACCCTTTCAAAGTCCTGATTCCATCTGAATTAAACAGATTAAAATTATCCTTGACCTACTCCATGAAATTATGTCCTTCTCACATTTGCCCAAAGGTAAATCAAGATCCTGCCTCTGATAGAGATAGAAACACTGTAACCACACATATATTTGGGAAAAACTTCAAGGAAAAATCTACTGCTAGTCTCAAATCCCCCTGCTTCATATCCAATATTCTCACTAGCCTAGGGACACTAATAAACAATGAACATTGGAGCTTCTGATTTCTGAAACAAGGTTTAACATGACTAAAGTTTTGAAGAGCTGAATCCTAATTCTAAACCCTTCAATTGATCAGAAATTTGTCCACCCTCTAATTTTGCCACAACACTGAAGCAAAATCTCACTTTTTCAGCAATGCTTGAACCTCCTTGTCCAAAGCCAGCATCTTCAAAGCTCTTCAAAGACTTTCCAGTCTCTTCTACCTTCCTCTATGCTAAAACTTCTTGTCTATATGCAATTCTAACTTGCCTGCTTGGTTTTCTCATAAATTAATAACAGGTCTGCTTAATACCAAATTAATGAAGAATTCTTATCCATCACTGTTTTTTTTTAAAATGAAAAAAATATTTTCATGTGGCATTTTAGAACATGTATGACTCACCATAATCTGGATGAAAAATCTGGCGAATCAGAAGAAGAAACCATTCTTTTGTCAGGCCACCCATATCAAGACCAGCCTCCCCTACAAATGTGACTTTCAACTTCTTTTTCAGATCTGCTCTCTTCCTTGCTAGCTATTGCAAAATAGGTAGGGAAGAAGAAAAAGGACATTTAACTTATTATCACTACCTGTAGCCATAGAGAATGTATCTTTGTCACTACCACTCTCACTTTGTTTAAACTAGTAATTGGCATCATCTCCTACTAATAGGTCTAAACTATATTAAAACAATGACTGAACTGCAGAAGCAAGATGATCATGTGGACTGGAGCACCTCCCGTATGAAGACAGGCTGAGGGAGTTGGGGCTGGTCAGCCTGGAGAAGAGAAGGCTGCATGGAGACCTCATAGCAGCCTTCCAGTATTTGAAGGGGGCCTATAGGGATGCTGGGGAGGACCTTTTCATTAGGGACCATAGTGACAGGACAAGGGGTAACGGGTTGAAACTTAAACAGGGGAAGTTTAGGTTGGATATAAGAAGGAAATTCTTTCCTGTAAGGGTGGTAAGGCACTGGAACGGGTTGCCCAGGGAGGTTGTGAATGCTCCATCCCTGGCAGTGTTCAAGGCCAGGTTGGACGAGGCCTTGGGTGATATGGTTTAGCATAAGGTGTCCCTGCCCATGGCAGGGGGGTTGGAACTAGATGATCTTAAGGTCCTTTCCAACCCTAACAATTCTATGATTCTATGACTACTTGATATCATAAACTACCTTGCACATGGTGCTGCTCTCCAGGTTTCAAAAGAATGATGTGCAAGCAGACTTAATAAGCTACTAGATGCAGAAGACATTCTGCCAGGAAGAAATGATAGATTAAAAAAAAAAAATTATGAAAATTAGACAACTTTTGGAGATATTTAGAAATAAGGAGCAATCTAAAACTTTCAATATTTGGACAGCCTTACTTTCAGCTTAAGATACCTGACAGCAAGTTTGGGAAATACATAAAAATAAAACTGTTTTTTAGACAATGGCACCAAGTTCTTTTCATTTCTTTATCCTAAAATACTGGATTACAACCAGGTGTGCAAAAGACCTGCAATGAAATAGATTATAGCCTTTCACAATTAGCAGTGATCCTTCAGATCAAGTCCCTACAAGTTTTTTCTCTAAACCACTAATTACTATCCAGCTCTACAGAAAGTGTTTACATCAGTCAGGACGATGCATGTGCTAAAATAATTTCTATATTAGCAGCTCAAGAAAATCCCTGTTCAACAAATTTTATGACACAGGTATTTGTATTACCTGTCATAAGCTATTTATTAGCTAAAGTCATTTTCCTTTGCAATTTTTTTTTTTAAATTTGAAATACAAATAAGACATCTTTCCCCATCTTCCATTCTCCACACTTTTGAGAATATGGATAATATAATGCATTCTTACACATCCCCAAGATGGGCAAAGGAAGTATCAAAAATAAGTATGAGAATATTTTGGCTATCAAAGCTCTTAAAGTGGCTCCTGGTAATTCCAGTGGGGTAAAAAAAACAACCCACAATGCCCAAGAGAAAGCAGTATTACCACTTATATTTCTTCTAACTTTGGAAAGGAGGCCAAAATAGGCTTTAATCTAGGAAAATGTTAGTTTAAATTTATGTTTTCTAAAGATTAGCAATCAGAACTTGTTCGGTCTTGTTTTTGCCACCTGGACAAAAGGTGAGCACTAGATTTTATTATGTAATGTTAATTAGCAAGATCCAGTGGATACTGAAGAACTGCCTACTTTAATGGACACATCTGTTTCATTTCTAAAAAAGGAAAAGATTACATGAAGAATGTGAGGAATTAGTTAAAATCAAGATAAGAACTTAAGAAAGCCTAAAATAATTCTTTTAGGACAGAGAAGTTTGTGAAAAGAATAAAAATGTTCCAAAAACTGGAACAGAACTAAGTCATTAGTGATTAGTCACTATTCCTGCTCCTATCATGGAACCAAGTCCTACATCACCTAATAATTATTCATTGTACTCTTAAAACAAAAATTGCAAACACAGACTGCATGGCATGCAAACATGTATGTTTATTATGGGCTTCGCTATGGAGCATTGTGAGAGTGCAAATAAAGTTAATGTCTGACCCAATTTATTCTGTGGCACTGCTATTGTGACAGTGATGCAGTTCTTTTTATTTAGCATTATATAGTCATATTCCCAATCTCTTAGCACAGAAAGATTTAAATATGACTTATCAAACTGAAATCCAAGTGCAACAGCTATTCTGCAGCAACACACCATTTAATTACATTTTTGTTACCTCATCAAGTGAATCACTAACAAGGTGCGTCCTCCTCACTTTCACATTTAGGAACAACATGTTCATGTCAGGTTTCTGTCTGCGAGATACTTTATCCACAAGGCTTTGCTATTTGAATGAAGAAGAAATGTCACACATGCAGTACCTTCTTTTATAAGCCAAAGTGCTGCACTTCTTAAATGTAAAAAGGCCTGAGTATCTTGCATAAAAGACATTATCCTAACATGCTAGCTGCTTCGGTACGTTCTAAGGGATGGAGAGCAATTTCTTTTCTAGTATTTATACCATATTTGAACTAACTTATCGGGAAGTTTAACAAGAACATGGCAACTGTACAGCCACCTATAAAACTCCACAAAGTTAAAAATATACCCATAGGACTTCAGAGACTGGCATGTGCCTTAATTAGCTATTCACAAAACACATCCACCAAGACAGGAATGATGCCACAGGTGGTGGTGCTACATTCAGCACCAAGGAAAGCAGTATCACCTAGCACCTGAACAAAATGACCACTGAAAGAGGCAGGCAGTGTCTCCTTCAAAACAGAAGAGGCTGGCCAGAAGCAATACCTCTCCTATGACTTGTGGACATAGTCTTACATCTTGGTTTGCCATGACAACATATCTTCATGGAATTATATAGGTAACAGTCCAAAATTCTCATGGAATTTCTCTTCCTTAATTATCCTGTTAATTTAAGATGCTAGAACATTATGCTGGTTTCTCAAAAAAAAAAAGAAGAAAAAGTAATTACAGTCATTTTCTCCACAGCACTGGCATTTAGAAATATCCTGAAACTGAGAACATTAAAATAAAAAAGCCTGAGAGAATCCAGCACGGACAGTTATAGACTGGTAAGAGTAAAATTGCTCAAGTTCTTTTTCAGGGTAGTCCAAAATTCTAGAAGTTGTGATGAAAGGTTGTATGTAATATCGATCTAACAAAAACTTATAAAATACCAATTGGATGAGACAAACATTTATCACTAAATGACTTACCCGTGCAATACTTATCATCTGTTGTTCTGAGTCCCTTTGAATAATAACTTTTTTTGCCGCTATAGAAATAATAAATGGGTATTGACAGAAAGAAAACCTAACAAGAGAAAAGAAAATAGAGTATTTCCTTTTTTTTTGCATCTAGCATATTATTTACTTTTTAAGAGTACAGGAGTGAATCGTTGCATTATGATTCCCGAACTACTTCCCTCCACTGTTAGTAATTTGCAAATAGCTGCTGGGTTTTTTTGCATTGCATACATAACTCAGTAGAACAAACTTATCTGCAAATACTACTAGAAATTGTATTCGGTAATAATACTTATTCTCAATAAAGCTCTTTCTTATTGTTTATCATTATCAACAGACCTAATAAAAAGTCACCTGCTTTAAATACTAAATTTTAATTGCTACACTGAATTAAAGAAAATTATAATATGTTATTAAATACAAGAAAAGCAGCTATCTCAGTGCAGCATGTTTAGGTACTGAGTAGAAATAATGTTGGTTTGGCTTATTTACTGCAGAACTGACTTTCAAAGGAACTGATTTTCCACAGGTTCTTTAGATTTAACTTGAAGTTACAACCATCTAGGGCTTCTAAAATATCAGATCCCACATTCCACTGCAATCAAATAATACAAATAAATCTCAAAAACTGTAGAAATCGCCAAGGTAAAAGATTTTTTTTATTGGTTACTTTGGTAAGTTGTTTGTTTTTGGTGATTCAGCTCATGCATCACCTAGCAGAAGTTCATACTTAAATACACAGAGCTTCAGACTCTGTGTGTGCGTCTTATATCCAAACTGCATGTGCACCCTGAATCCTACCTGTTAGAAGCTCGGGATTCAGATGTTGCTAGGAAAGAAAGGAAAATGAGCAAAATATTCTCATTTGGTCTCCTGGATATCCTAATCCAATCCAAAATGTTTTACCAAGGAGTGTTAACTTAGTTTGAATAATTATGTATTTCAAAATATTTCATGTGGAAGGTAAACCAGGACTTGCTCCTAACTTGACCTTCTTAGTTCTAAGCATATAGACTTGACTGTGATTCTTTGTTGGTTTGTTGTTTTGTCTGTTTGGTTTTTTTTAATGGAATGACACAGAGTTAAAAGATGTTAAAATTAGAATAAAGTGTGGCTGCAACAAAGTAAAAGAATTAAATTTACTTTAAGAATAATACAGCTAGTCTGCATTTCAGCTACTCCAGAAATTATGTACCAAGCAAATTTTGTTTTGACATATATTGAATTCCCAGTGTCCCAGCTAACTGAAAAGAACTGGAGCAGGTGGAAATCTTGCAGCCCTTTTGTAAGTTTGGATGTGGGTGCCAAAACAGCCAGATGGTGCCAGTGGAAAAAAAGTAAATCTGAAGCTCAGCAGTATCCAGATTCCAATACTTGTACTGAGACTATGCAAAACCTACTGAACATTTACTGCTATCATGTGTCATGGGGTTTGATGGGGCATTTTTTTGCCTTCTTTTCCATTTATTTGTTTTTAATTCCTTCCCAAGCAGAATATCAGGTATCAGACACAAACCTAGCCTACAATACCTGCTTTAGTGGAGCAAATTATGCGAAGTTTTCCTCAACTGCTGCTAAAGACAAGGAAAACCGCACATGGAATAAGCAAAAAGCTACATTTGGTTGGCTGTTGTCTTATATTAGCTTACTGAAAAGTCTTGAAATATGAGGAATTTTAATTGATCTTGTGATTCAAGCTGTAAAGACTGAGTGATACATACTAATATGCTAAAAGATACAGCTATACAAAACATTTTTATTAAGAAAATGTCACTGAGATTTTAAATTTTAGCAGTAAAATGAAATGCCTGTTTCTCTAGATGTTTCTAAATCACACTGCTGGCTGCCTCTTACAAGAAGAGAAATACCTTTGTAAGCTTTGAGTCTGTAAAGATTTAACTTGTATGTTATCTTCATGTAACAGAAATAGTGCTATTGATTTTAGTGGAGCAAATAGGATTGGAGCCACATATATACAGGTAGAGACATTTTCATCATTAAGTAGTAAGTATGCACACAGCACTTTCTAGGAACATATTTGAGGTTATATTTTTGTAGTAAGACACAATTAGAAGTCTATGCCAGTAAATAATAAACTCATATTATCATCTATATTTCACATCTTTTCTCCAGTTTGCAAAGTCAGAATGAGATCTGTTGCATGCAGTCTCGCACCCATGCAATACCAAGTATATCAAGTAGCAGCTATACAATGTTTTTCCAATAAAATACAGTATTTAATGTGGTTATATATACACACTACATACATGCTATAAGATAGATATACATGATATACATAGTGTAGACACAGTGCTTTGAAATACTAATTAACAAGAAACAACCACTTATTTTACCTGTGAGAATTTCCGTAACATTGCCAGTTATGATATTCTTCCATAAGATCAATATGATCAAGTGTAGAATTGTAGAAATCCGTATATGAAATAATAGGAGGACTGATCAGACAATTTGCAGCATCTACAAAGAAAACACAAAAGTCTTTTAAAATACTGCCTGGATTCAGCACGTTTGTTGTCTAGGTATCCTGGGCACCCGCACCCTCAGAAACTTTAAGCCAAGTCGGATACTAATAACTTTGTCTCAGTCTTACCTGCAGGTTAACAAGTGTAACATGACATCACACTAACTGTTGTGGAAAACAATACCTAGTTCAGCCCATTTATGATAAGAGAACGTCCATTTGATGCTTAATGACACTTAATGACATAAGCTAAGTTAAGGTTTCATGCATAGAGTTCTTTTCTGCTGAAATCGATGAAAAAACAGTTTGATAGATGGATTTCTTAATTATTGTTGTTTAATTTTAAACTTAGCTATGGATACAACATCTACATGCTTTTCAGGTAACAATTATCTCTCTGAGTTTGATGCCTGTTTGTAAAAGAGATGGAAAGAGAGTGGCATAAAACATAGTACTCAAAGATACACCTATTTCCTCAGGTAACTACTATACCATCTAGCCTCACCAATACAAAAATGACCATATCAAGAAAACCAATTCACATTCAAGCTGCCTATCTCATTATTTAATATTCGTATAACAACATGTGTTTCATTCACACAATGACAAATATCTAATAAGTTTTCTGTAAATCCACTTAAACATGATTAATTTTTGATCAGTCAGAAAGTAATGTATTTTGAATTACTAAATATTTCTTTTCCCAGAAATATGGAACTACAAACTCTTTCACAGATGACTAGACAACACATGTTTTTTTTCAGATACAGGTGAGCTTTATCTAAGCTGTCACTCTGGACAGGCAGGACTGTGCAGAATGCTTTTAAGCAGTTTTAAGTTGACAGTGAAATGAAAATGTCCTCACTCCAATCTTAATTTTCACTTGGTGGTTTCATCTTCTCTTAGAGAGAAGAAAATGTTTTTACCTCTAAAGAAAAGCGGACTGACCTTAAGCCTTTCATCTCCATAGCAAATGCTCTAATCACTAAGCTGTTTGGGATGAGTGGAGGAGAAGGGTTGCATTTGCAATTGTCGTATTTTCTGTGTTCTATGGTTGAACTGGACAAGGATTTACTTTTTCTAAGCTGTAGTTTTGGACATATGCACTGCCAAGCTTCTCTTGGATGCCAAATATTTCTGTGGGGCTAAGCCACTTACAGAAGAAATTCTGGGAATTACACACTTAAACCAGTTTCTTTTACAAAACTAAGGGAAACCCTAAGCATCGGTTACTTCCATGGACTTTTGTTTGAATGATGAGCACTTGTTACAGGAAAATTATGCATAGCAATTACCCTTTACCAGAAAACAACTACAAATACTTCCCAATAGAAGATGCCTTTTGTTGTTTATTACTTTTTGGCATATTATTCTAGTTTGTACTGTGCCACTATCATTGTCAATCTCACCCAGAAGAGGAATAAACTATTCCTCCTCATATGTATACACATACAAAGAAATATACATATATATCCACATACATATGCATATACAGTTCAAGCAAAATACCTACTAAATAAACCCAAGACTTTGGCTGCTGATGGAATCCACCAGGTACATTTCACCATAGGTGGAAACTCTTCAGGTTTTGCAGGAAACAAGCGTAAAGAAATAAATTGCAGTAACCTGTCCACCAGCTGCTTGAACCTCTTCTGCGAAATCCTAAAACAAATGTGTTGCAGTTACTCTCACGTGATCACTGCCCACACTAGGGCTTTTATTATCAGATTGCAATTTTATTTTTTAAAGAACATGCCCTATACGTAAAAACAAATGCCAAATATAAAGTTTAAGAAGCATGCTTTTAAACACTGATACACAGCAGTGCTCTTCATCAGTGCACCGCTAAGCTTTTTAATGCCTGTGACTTGAAAAAAAAAACACCAAAATGCAGTAGAATCATTAGTTCTTGACTTTTAGTAAACAAAAAGAAAACAAAACTCCTTAGCTATTTCAATCCACAATCTGAATAGTGAAGAAGTCTGATTTTTTTTTTTTGAGACACTTGGTCCTATTGAACAAAGAACGGAAAGTACTGAAGCTTGTGACAAGTGCACATTTTAAATTATGTGCACCAGTTCCATATCACAACAATACACATGTGTACATGTATTAGAGAATGCTTTTGTAAATAAGAGCTCTCTTATTTTAATGGTTTAGACTTCTGATACATGTTTTAAAAATAAAAATATTGATATGCCTATTGCATCCCTAATCAAGAGGGTAAACATTATTTGTAAACACTGATACAAATGAAATAATATCACATATTTAAGCAAATCTAGACATATTAGAGGGTAGGGAGAGGGGAATATAATTTCCAACCTTGCAGGTAAGAAAATCCTTTATTAACAGATTCCCTTAAAGGTCAGGGAATTGTGAATATGGCCATTCAAATTTTTCATTTTTACACCACACTGAAATTTTTGCACAATTATTATGAGGAAGGCAACCAGCATACCAATTCTTAAAACCTGCTCTTTGGGTAGTTACCCCATATGACTTTGTTAGTGACATGCTATTAAGAATTACTTGAATTAATTAAAAAAATCTAATGCCCTAACTACAGTCTCTCACCACTTCCATTACACTATGAAGCAGGGACTTGATTTGATTTGTGAATTTCATAAAACACAGTAAAGTTACAGTATCTTCTGCAAATTATCCAAGACATACCTTTATTTACACAAAGATCATAAAGATGTTTGTATTTATAATAGCATTTAAACATATACCTAAAAAATTTACATACATAAGTATTTTGCATGTGTTACAGAAAAATAACTTTAAAAAGTTATTTTGGAATGAAGGCTATTTTGCATAAAGATATTCATTTTTATACATTATATACAGTTTGCATCTATAAATCAGTATCACTTAGTGGACTATGCCCAAATGTACTTTGAAAACAACAAAAACAATCTCTGTACTCAATTAAATTAACTTCCATGTAATTTATAAAACAGTCAACATCAATGGAAATACAGTAACAATTGTAATCCTAAAAATGGAATTTTTATTTTTATTTTTTTAATTTTTTTTACTTTTTAGACCAGTGCACTAGGAAATGATGGTCAGCTTCTGTTAAGGCTGCTATCTGTCTTAGCAAGTGAGCATAGATGACATAAGTAGAAGTGTTACTAAATTGAGGATTCTGAAAAAGATTAAAAAAATGTGTTAGGTTAATAAACTGCAGAAAGGGAAAGAAGTCATTAGGAATTTTTCTTATGTTTGTTCTTGTTCAAATGAAAAGTACATATCTTCTATCTTGTAAAAGTGTGATTTTTTTTTTCTTTTCTTGTTTTAGTTTCAAAAGAAAGCCCAAAGGTAATAAAGGCAGTACCCAATAGATTTTTCTGGATTATCATTTAATGCATAGCACATAAATTATACTCCTTTGAGTGATGTGCTTTCCATCTAAGTAATAAGGATTCTCATAGCTCCTGTCTTCCTGCATATCAGTCCAAACCTATTTCCTCTTATGTATGAGTTAACACATTCCTACTTTTCAGCAGGATATATCCCTTATAATTCACAGCTAGCATACCACCCCAGAAAACTATTGTCTCAAAAAATTAAATTACCATCTAATCATCTCAAATAGCAGCAGAAATCTCTCCTTGTGTGGAGAGATGTTATCTACACTTGTAAAATTTAAAGGGCAAATTTGCTACAAACGCAAATCAAATATAATAGTAAAGGTAATACCCTAACACAGGCAGAAATCAGACAATGTAGCCAGTCAGACTGGGGAGAGTCTACTGGATATAATGCAATTCTGGAGAAAGTTACAGCAATATAAAAAAGTGCATATACTGAAACTTTCTGGAAAGATCAGTGTTACAGAATAACAGTAAGGCAAATCTAGGAACAAGGAAAAAAGAACAAATAATCTGCTAAAACATTTGTTTTTCCAACCCACAAAATGACAGGAAACAAATACATGTCTGTTACTTCATAGTTTTAACCTATGTAACATTTCCCCATCAACTATATTCCATCAAGCTCCCATTCCCATCATGCATACCCTAAACTTCTTCTCTATTTTAATGCATTCTTATAACAGGAAATTAAATGTGAAGTATCTTTTTTTGCAGAGTATACTGGTTTATAGATTATACACTAAGCAGACATACACTTAAATAAAAATATTGTATTTTTCTTACCTGTAGAAGTATACAGTATGCTCTAAGATCATCTTTTGTTCGTGGCCTATGAACGAACGAAATAATAAGCAGAACTATATGTATACATGATATACACAAAGAGCCATGAAATCATGCACCTACAATTTAACTTTGCTTTGCAGAAGTGTTTATTTGCCTTATGCTTGATATTTCCTGTCAGAATTATTATACACTTCTTCCACTGCAGACTCTGTACTTCTTGGTGTTTATCTGTTTCAAGGCTTTTACATTACCAAATGCAGCAACAGCACAGAAAAAGGACTATAAGGTAGAGAAAGGAACAGCCAAAGGTTGGGTCACAGGCGAGTCACAACAAGGCACTGACGCTTGCCATATCTTTTCATGAATCAAACTCCATTCTCACTTCTCTTGCTTCTTGCTAAAATGTTGTCACCTCCAAATCATCTGCCTTTGGGCTATCCCTTTCTGCATCCTGCACTGCCTTTTCTATGCTGGTGTCACACATGAACAGTATTGTGAAGTAAACTTTGGATCAAGGAATTACCTAGGTTAAAATCACCTAGTTGCTGTTGGAGGGTGAGCAGGGAGAATATATTTTACTTTAGATAAATTCCTTAACTCATCTCACAGTTCAGATGCTCAAAAGATTGCCCTGGCAACAGGCAGCTGAGATTTTGTGGAGGAATGTATTGCTGGGCCTGGGTCTGCCTCTCAGGGGTTGAATGTCAGCTTAGAGAGTTCAAGATATATTTCAGCATATTTGCCTGCCAAAAGGAGACAAGTTCTTAAGAGTCAAACAAGTTGTATCAAATCATATTATTTCTTTAGCTAAAAGAATAAAAACAAAATGTGTATCAACTTTAAGTGCTGACACGGCACTGAAGCAAGCACTTGTTATAATTACCCTGTCCATTCTTGTAGCAGACCATTAATTACTCCTTTTAGGACTGATTTCTGAACATCTTGAGGCTATGGAAGAAAGAAAGGAAAAATCATATCTCATGTAATTATATATATGCTATACAATGTACTGTATGAACAAGCAAGCTTGTTTTGCTTGTGATTCAAGCCAGCCAAGAAATCTTTGCATTATGATACCGTACTCCTAAGTATCTTTCCTCGCAGACTATTAGCTGAGGCCTGGAGTTGTGTCAATGACTGCTTTCAATGATTTAAACAACTTCAAAAATGTAAATATAATTTCTAAATTACTCCCATCCTTTGTTGAGTAGGCACAGTACCTACTTTTTACTACCACATCCTCACTTTTTCCTTATTTCCCAACATGCAGTGTCCCATCAGTCATGTTATATCCTGCAAGCAGTCTTCGAGATCTAGCACAGTATAAACTGTTCATTACTAGTAGCAAAAATATCCCCTTTACTATAGCCGTTTTCACGACTCTGGTCATTCTCATGGGGCCATTTTAAGTATGTTTTGAGAGATTCTTCAGAAAAACTTTTGGTATAAATTGCTTCTTAGCATATTTCTTTGCTGAAATAATTGCTACAATGTTTTAGAACATGAACTCTTTCCTTCTACTTACAGTATTTAATAAGGCATCATAAACAACATTCACAAAATTTGCATCGATTCCAGAGTCTTCAGTGGTATTAAATGGAGAATTGGCATCTTTCTGTAAGTTAGACAATACATGAAGCAATTTGATTTTGAAATGTTTTGAATATTTTAGCTATCTTTGAGAAATAAAAGTTTAACAGCAAGCTTAAACAAAACACAGATGTAATTATTTTTCTTATCAAACCCTTAAGAATCTAAGATGCTTTTATTAATATGTGAAGGATGTAACTAAACAACAGTAATCATACACATTGGCAATATTAATGTAACACCATTATCATATCATTCTATTTTAATAAAGTAACAGGGTTTCAAATAATGAATTACATAAAATTTTCATTTTTTGTCTTTATTGTTGATCTATTATCAGACAAGAGCAATAAAGTCATAAGCATTCAATATTTGTTAAGTAACTAGAAGTCACAGGTTATTTTGTCTAGGGTCAGGCACTACTGTCCATATTAAATACCATAAGCATATTTTGCTCTGTAACAGGCAGGAAATATTAATTTAGCATGAATTCAGAAAGTTTTCAGACATGAATATGATCTTTCCCAAGGAAAACTGAGGATGCCATCACAACACAAGAACAGCTATATTACTTGAACCCATATCACATGTGTTTTGGCAACAGGGAATTTCTATTTCCAGATTTGCCTGGGTCTCCATATTTGCTGCATGTTTTTAAACTGTAGTTTGTGCAAAAATCATCTACACAGCCATACTGCCACAAAATGAACTACATACTGGAATTTTAAAGTTCCACATATATTTGAAATAGAGTCGCTTAAACTGGAATCTATAAATCAATGCAATAACAATTGTCTACCAAAGACAGGTGAGATTGTGACAAAACGATCTTAGCAGCCTTGAATAAGTTAGCTACAAGCCCTTAACTGACATTTTTGTAAACAATTCAAAGATACAAAGCACTGCAAGTACTAAAGAGTATTATGAATTATTTTCTACCTTAAATGCAGCGTTTATCTCCAAGAAAGAATCAAATGTTGTAGTATAAAAATCGTGTACAGCTTTCCAATCTCCTGATGACTTAGCCTTTTCAACATCATCCCTAGAAAGGATATAGTAAAATATTGATAATAAAAGGGTTCAATCTTTCCAACCTTCCCACTTAGACTTTACACTGCACTGTAACTCTAAGCTTTCCTCAGTAAGTACACTTAGAAGAGAGACAGGTATAATATCACTACTTTGCTAACATCTTCCTTGTCATTTTAAGATCATGGTATTACAAGAGAACAAAAGCATAGTTTGTGTTTGATACACCTGAGCAATGTCTTTTATTCAAAATGTTAATTCATGGTGTCACAGTTCAGTATGTCAAGACAAATAATTAGCAAAACAGAATTATGCTGAAAACACACTGACATGATAAAATTTCTAACTAGTTTATTAAAAGCTCCTTAAGTAGTCAAATCAACTCTCATTTGTTCAAAATATTATTTCTCTTCTTTGTATGCAACTGTACACATCTACTAAGGGACTCTTTAAGTATTGGACCTTAAAGTAAGTATCTGTATATGAACTTTTGTATAATACCATGCATTTAAAATAAACAAACAATCCCCAAACAACCTTTAATGCAGATTTTTTTAGCTATCTACAGTGCTGGTGATACAAATCCCAGTTGGATTCCCCCAGGTAATTTCTTAGTACTAGATATTAGTATCTAGATACTAGATATTAAAAGTACTAGATACTTAGTACTAGATACTAAGCACTAGATACTTAGTACTAGATCTAGTATCTAGATACTAAAAAATAAATATCAGTGTACATACCAAAGATGTTAATAACTTTTTAATACTTTATTTGAAAGAATAAAATTCTTGGTAATTACTTAATTAAGCAGCAGTCAATCAATAAAAAAAGCCTGAATATAGAAAAAACATCAGCTCTTCAGATCACTCAAATACCAACATAGGATCACCTCTTACCAAGCTGTGATACCCATTTCCTTTTCCACCAAATACACACACACACTGAGTAATCAAAAAGCATTCCTTTCCTCACTGACGGCACAAAATTTCAAACACGGAAAAGAGCAGTAAAGAGTATATGCTCATACGCTTCTTAAAGCAACTGTGATATTTTCTTAAATTTTTTTTTTGTCCCCATCTGTTTGAAAAAATAGAAGAATCAGGCTTCTTCCTGGGAATACTTCTCCCCATTCTTTGATGAAGATAATTCTACTGTAAAACACTTGAGGGTATTACAGAGCATAATGCTGCTCTGTGGGTGCTAAGGCTAAAAAAAAAAAAAAAACCAAAACAAACACCATACTTCCAATGAATTAGTAAATACTCACCTAAGAATACTCTAAGAACATATCCACACTAAAGAAACACTGCCAATGTATGTCCATGTATTGCAGGCAGGATTCCCTAGTACAGACACACTTGATGCCCTTTTGTTTTCCACAAAGTTACACCATTTCCACAAATGACAGTGCCAACATCATAATTTTGGGGGATTTATGTGAAACAGAGAAAAAAAGTTCCCTATTGCCTTGCGTCCACAACAAATCAAGCAAAGCTAGCAAAACTCTCTAGTGTACACCTGACATCATGGAAACAAGCTCTACTAGTTAAGAGCAACTCAGGTGATTTCACTGGGGACTCATGCTAGCCCAGCTCAGCCAATCAAGCATCATTGCTGAGTATCATCAACAGAGCTGAAAGAAATCTAATGCAGATACAGTTTTGATTAAGGGTCTGTACTGATTTGGAAAAACAGAAGTGGAACACCAGACACTATTTCACATCAATTTTACTTCTAGCTAAATCACTGTTATAAGGCAGCAGCATAAATATTGTGTACACAGACTAGTTGATCTTAAAACTTTTTACTTAGACAAACTTAAAGCATAGGGAATCTCAAAAGTGCTAGAATAGCTTACACTGCTTATGTGATCACAAAAGCAGCAAGGATATGTGAAAAAAAGTTTTTGCCATAAAACTAATATTGAAAATTAACCCTCTAACATAAAGCATGAACAGTGCAGTCCATGTAATCACCACTCGGTCCTCAAGTACATTGTTATACATTCAAGTAACTGATGTGCAGTGCTTCAAAGACTGAGAATGCCCAGTACCTCAAAGGACACACCAAACTGGCAGTGCAAATAAAACATTAGGATTGAAAGGGATTTTCTAGCCCACAATAAGCCATACATGGGTTTTTTTTTAAACTAAACATCCCCTGAATGTCAGTAACTGAATTTCTAACTCTGAAATACAACCTTTGCCATTTCTTGAACAGAACAACACTTCAAACTACAGAAAGTATTTTGGTAATTTTCACAGTAAGTTATCAATCCCACCATCACAACCCAACTACCTGTCAGCCTTACTAAACTGTTTCCTCATTTGAGATTAACAAAATCTAGTGTATGAATCAGGACAACACAAAGCAAGTTCAAAGGGATAAAGTATGCTTTCAGAAACACAGGGTGACTTACTGAAAATCCTTCACAGTTTTGGTTCGGATAGGAAGGGAACGTTCAGGAGGAATTGGTGCTTTCAGTTCTTGGGGTAGTGTGTCTATAGAGATGCGCTGCTTTTGTCGTACATCGAGGCATATAGGTGGTAAGTCTCTCACTTGTAAAAAATAACCCAATAAATAAAATGCAATCATATGCAGTTAGTAAAATACAGATATAAAGAAACTAGGAAAAAAAAGAAAATGCACACTGATTAATTCTACAACTTTAAACTCCAACTCATTCAGATACTTTCCGTACTATGTGCTCAGACCAGACATGCTAGAAACTTCAACTAATTGAATGGAAATACAAACTTCGAAACAAAAACCATGCCCTGAGTTTGTAGCTGTATCTTTGTGAACAATGGGTGGAGAAAACTGGCCAGTCTGTCTCCTACCTAAGGTCTTCTGAAAGAAGGGACTCTACTATTTTATAAATGAGCTTTTCCACCCAGTTGCAAACAAATGATTTGCTTATTACAAAAAAAAAAAAGAAAACTGAGACACATTTTCACAACAGAATTGCTGACATGCTGCTGCCAAAAAAGAAAAAAAAGGGGGGGGGGGGAAGGCTGGTGGTCTGTGTTCCAACTCATTATTTGGAAAAATAGCAAAATATTGTACTTACATAAACTTACGTAAGACACATAGATATTACACCAGTAACACACACTGGTATGCATACAGCAGTACTCATATCACACGAGAAAACCTCAAGTTTCTTTCACATATACTTTTCCCATGTATACTTTCACTTTTAGAAATGAGTGGTGCAGGATTTTCTTTAAATCTATTGTAGCTGCAGATACTCAACCTTCTGAACATAAAGCCAAGTGCCTTCTAAGTCAAATGCATAACGTGCCTATTCTAAACATCACATCTACCTGTGAATATGAGGAAGTCAAGCAAAGCAAGTTACAATACAATTACAATAAAATAAATTTAAAAAAAAAGAAAAAAGGATGTTATGAACTACAGCGTTAACCCAGACTGATCCTGTTATGTTTGCTATCTGAAAGGCAAACAGAGCAATCCATGAGTGATAGCTATTAGTCATGAATAATAGCGTTGTCCATTATTGCATTTATAATATGCATTGTAAACATTGTAACACACAAACTGTAACACCTAACGAAAATCTCAAGCACAACTACACCAAAGTCCAACTATTTTCTGAGGTAAAAGTTTGTCTACACTGATATATTAATTTTACCTAGAGCTGACTGTGGATCATCTAAAACCTCCTAAAGCAATCTCTCCAATAAATTAAACGGGAAATATAAGTTTTCTGTCCTGCAGAGAATTACTGCTGAAACAGAAGCATCTGGAAACAATTCTCAATAAATCTGTCTGCCTATTCTAAGTACAAATAGCAGTGCTTTAAAAGATCTTTCTATTCTACACCTTTCTATTTGATTTGAGAATGTCGTATTAGGTTTATCTAGGTTTATGTGGCAAGGTTTTGGCAGCAGGGTGGCTGCAGGGGTGGCCTACGTGAGAGGACATGGGGCTGCCTCTACATGAGACACAGCCACCTACAAAACACTTTGGCTACCAGTGGCCAAAGCTGAGCCCCTCAGCTTTGAGGGGCTCAGCTCAGCCTTCTTTTTCAGTGGTACTCATAGGACCTCTGTGATAATAAGAGTAAAAAACATTGCACAGCAGCTGAAAGAGAGGAAGAATTGGGGGGAAGGCGGGCCAGAGGGGATAAACCTCCCTGCAGACACCTAGCTCAGCGGAGAAGGGGAGGAGGTTTTCCAGGCACTGGAGGCAGGGATTTCTGTGGAGAAGACCACACTGAAGCAGACTGCCTCCCTGCAGCCCATGGAGGACCACAGTGGAGCATACAACCAACTGCAGCCCATGGAGAGCCCATGCCTGCACAGGCTGCTGGCAGGAACTGTGGCACATGGGGAACCCACACTGCAGCAGTCTGTTTCCGAAGGAGTGTACCCTGTGGAAAGGGCCCACATTGGAGCAGCTAGTTAGAAGGACCTGTGTTAGAAAAGTCTGGTAAAAGACTCTATCCCATGGGAGAAACCCCATGCTGGGCAAGGGTAACTGTGTGAGAAGTGAGTCACAGAGATGAAATTTTATGAGCTGACTGCAACACCCATTCCTCACCTCCTTGTGCTTTTCCCTTGGCAGAAAGGAAGTAAAAGAATGGGAAACAAAGGGCTAAAGCCTGGGAAGAAGGAATTTTCAGTTTTGTTTAACTGGCAATAAATTCATATCCTCAAGTTAACTCTGTTTTGCCTGTGACAGTAATTGGAAAGTGGACTCCCTATATTGACCTCAACTCATGAGCTTTTTCATCTTATTTTCTCCACACATCCTGATTAGGAGGGGAAGTGATAGAGCAGCTTGGTGGGTGTCTAGCAGCCAGCCAAGGTAAACCCACCAAAACCATGAAAAAATATTCCAATACAGTATACACAAACATCCATTTTTTACTGACAGTGTCTTCCCAAATATCCTTAAAATGCTTTTTTAGTCTGATTTATGCTGCATGTTTTAAAAGTATTTATATGAATTATGACATATGCTTGGGATAAAAGGCACTATATAAAATAAAGATGTCTTCAGAAGTCAAACATACTAAACTAAAATCCTGTATGAATTTCTAAGAACCCTCTAAGCCTTTTTCAAGAGTTGTTTTTTAAAATTAACATCAAAGTAGTATTACTACTCTCCTGCCTCCTCCTTTTATCACAGTGGGGAAATAAATGCTAACAAAATCCCCAAACCCAAAGGCAGATTCTTTTCACTCATGCTAATGACAGGGATACTGCCATTGTGACTTAACACAGACACCATTCATCAGATGATAATAGATCAGAGCTGCCCTCAATCCCATGAGTATGGCATCAATTATAGATATGGAACCTTGCCCACTCTCACAGCAGGAATTTAAAGCTATTTAAAGAGAAGAGCAGCAATTTAAAAAACAAAGTGGACATATAGGTACTAGATTAATTCAAAGTGTCAAACAATCCTGCCATGCAAGTGCTGGCTATTGCACAACATTATCTGAAAGCAGGATGGGCTGACTTAAAAGAAATGAATACTACATTCTATTTTCATACTCTGAAAAACATAACTAATTTCCATTTAGCTCTCATTCTGTCTTCTCAATTTTAAATTTATTAAACACTGAATTATAACCAGCTGAATACACTGAAATGAGGAAAATATTCTCTCCACATCTGTAGAAGAGAGAGCTGCTGACAGAAGCTGCTTCTCATTTCAGTAAATTGAGGCTGCAGGTGCTAAGCTGGCAACATGCACCCTGCCAGTGATGCAATTTTCTTAGAAATATATTCAGCTTAAATTAGATAGACTAAAATGGAATTTTAATAGTATGTTAAATAAATACTGACAACTTCAGTATGTTTTGCCATTATTCAGGTTTATTTGTAAATAGATTTATTTGTTCATCTGACATTCAAAAATGTTAATTAAGATCTGTCACTTGAGTTCCATTGAGGAGAAACTTGAAACTTCGTGTATTAAGCTAATAAGAGCAGTAACACAACATTACAAGACAAGAAAAAGCAGTCATTGCTGGCTGTTTGCCTGGTTATATCAACTAAAAAGATTCAGCAATGAATGACTTCTTAGGGAACAATCAAAAACGTTGAGGAAGAAAATCTCATTGATACAAAGCAGAATTGACTGATACAAAGAAATTTAGGTTGAATGAATTTAGAACAGCAGTTATTTTCAGTGACCAACACAGCTGCTGAGAGATGAAAATTTTCAAAGTAAAGCAAACAAATCTTACAAATAAATTTGTAACATTATAAAAGAACTAGATCAATCTAGTTTATATACAAATTTCATACCAGATCACTGTTGCATTAAATTGCTATAACAAGTCTTCTAATCTCTGTGGAAGATGCATAGCAAACAAACATCACCCTAGCCTTCATGCTGTATTTACCAGTACTACTTTTTCTACATTTGTGCTTTTCAATGAAATTAACATTCTTTGAACTCAAGCCTAAAGTATTACCAGTACGTGTACATATATATACACACATATTGAGAGAGATAGCATGTGTATAAACCCCACCAACCACGCATCATTCCTCAATTTCAGAATAGCAGAAGCAGCATTTTTAGCCAAGAAGTCTGTTTCAGTAATTATTTTCTCCATAGAATACACATATCTCCTCAATAAATTTGAGTGCACCTTGGGCTGTTAGTAAAATAATTAATTTCTATATAGGCAGGTTACCTGGCCTTAGTCTTGTTTCAAACTCACAACAGTCTCTTAATTAATGCCATCTCTTTCTAGCCTCAAATTCATTGAGTGCTATAGAGACTTAGAGAACCAGAGAATAATGAGGCTGAGAGGGATCTGCTCAAAGGTAAGATCAATACAAAACTGACAAATGCTTGTGCAGTCTTTTATCAAAAGTCCCAAGTTACTGAAATTCTGTATCTTAGCCCAAAAATCTAATGAAAAATTCAGGTCTAACCACAACATCATCTAATCAGGCTTCCTGACTCTAGCCTTTCCTAATGATTACACAGCTCCACTTTCTATCTTTTCATCAATTACTGTTACTTCATCATACCACAACCACCTTCTTTCTTGCTTTTAAAGCTCTTCAGAAATTAACAATCTTTGCCTGTGAATTTTATTTTGTGTCATCACTGGCCTTCATTTTCAGTGAAGAACAGCAATTCTCAGCAACTGTCTCGCTTAAAAGCCCTAGATCCCTCATCCCTGCCATCCTTCAGAATGTGATGTAAAGATTTTCTTCACTTAACTTCTGACACAATTTTTAGGGAAATTGTCATCTGCCTGCAGTTAGACAAACTGCAGATGCACTCCTGAATCTGTAACTTTCTTTAAACTTCAGATGATTATTTCATCCTGCAGGTCTATTTCTTTTTCTTATCCAAATTGTCTCTATGACATAAACTTTACAGAGGATGAACTATCACATTTATCACTTCCGGTACACCATACAGCACACGTACATTAATAAAATCTATATTTATAGATTTTTCTGGCACTACAATACAAATATTGGCAGAACACCGAGCACCTTCTTAAATTGGTAACTAAGTAACACAGGGCTTTTATTCTCTTACCATTTTTGATGTTGGGTATAACAAGTTGCGTAGGAGAATTTCTGTTTCCGATGCCTTCTTTCTTTTGGTTGATAGTTGTGATGAAATTGCTGAAAGTCGAAAACTGATTTTTGGCTCCTCTCTCCAACCCCTGTAATTAAGATGACAGCATGCTATAAAAGGCTAATACATGACTACAAGGGTAATCTTACTCATGAGGTATTACACAGAATACTTAAATACTTTTTATCTCGCAATCAGTGTGGTAATACTTAAATAAGACATAAATAATGATTCTGCAAGTTTGTTTCAAATTGAATCAGGAGAAATACCATAAAATTCCCTTTTACTACATTCAAAAACTTAAATATTAGTTTGCAGGATACGAAGATATCCTTGGATTACTGTGAGGAAAACACAACACAATTAAAATGCTTTCAACAGCATCCTAACTTTCTGTATCCTAATTTCTAACTACTTTTATATTCCTCACTACATCCAGCTCAGTTTATACTGATGAAAGCGTTACATACTCCTTTTCCCAAATAACCCTAATACACTGAAGTAGTTAAGACAAATTTCCCAAGACTTGAAATGTGGGGCCACAAATTCTCTGTGAGCTAACTCGATAATAAAATTTAAATACTAGCTACCTGTGTAAACACCCCTAATTGTTCAAAATTAGCAGCACCAGCTGCCACTGAAAAAAGGCCAGTCAACAAACATTCACCAACACTGCTAAAAACACCTGCTTGAGTATCTCTGTGCGCTGCCACCAAGGAGTCTCTGCACAAGCCTTTGCTAAGAAGTGTTGAGCCCTAATATGTTTTAATATATAGAAGTGAAATCACACAACAGTCTTCCAGAGGATAATCAGTCTGTTTGATACTGACTGCTATTAGATACAGCTATTTACTCTGGAGAATTTGCTAAGCATTGGAGGGTTAAGGGGGTTGCCCAAGATGACAGAAGTCACATGATGGAGATTTCAATTTCCACCTCAGCTCCAAGTCATCAGGTTGATATCAGGCAAAGGCAGATCAACTCAAGAATATATACAGACTCTCCCCGCACATCATGATTTTCAGCCTTACAATAAGGTAAAGATTCATTTGCTTGATATCTACTATCTGTGCTCCCAGATAGGGAAAAAAAAAAAAGTTTTCATGCAAATCAAAACTGTAATTCCCCAAATGAGAATAAAAAATCTAGAATAATTAACATAATATTCTATCATTTTTTTAAACCCATACATTTCCCTTTTCCCTTAAGTGTAGTAAATTTAGACTAAGACATGCCATCAGAGCTCTGAGGAAAGTACTTCACTTCCACCAGAACATCCTGAAATATGACCAGGAAGGTAATAACACAGCCCATAAACCTGCCACACCACAGTGTACGCAAGCTGGTACACTGCCAGGAATTTTAAATTACTGTGGCATAAACAACCATTTTTCCATGGCTTATAACTCTGCAAATTAGAAATTTGAGCAACCAGCAGGACTTCTGCCTTTAAAAATCCCAAGTTTCAATTTTTAGCTCCAAATTCCTTGTATGCAACAAACATTCAAAAATAAAATGTAATTACTGCTATAATTTTCACATTTTTTTAATTATTATTATTCTATAACCTTTGAAAATGTCACTAAGATGCTTCTGAGAAAAAAAAAATCATGTGGCACATGACTGGAGAAAACCAGACCCTGAATAAACATGCCACGACATGACTGACTAAAAGAGGACTTTTAAATTCAGATCTGAGGTTAGTCTGCTGTGTCATAAAATGTATCCCCTAGGTAAAACCCCCCTGGAGCGCAGACTAGTCTAATTGTGATTAACAGGGAAGAGTTATCACAGATAATTGAGAAAAGGAGCTTTTATGTAACAGACTTACTGTAACAGACCTTTTTGACTGACTCTAGAGGTTTTACTCCAGCCACCAAAATAGTATAGACCAGAAAGAACAAAAATTGCACATGCTATTTACCTCCATCATCCTGCTCCAAGTGCAGTTCCAACAATATTAAACAAACACATGGACAAAGGCTGTACTGGAAAGCCCTGGAGGAATACTGGGAAGCTACATGCTCATTAGTGAGGATCTCTGACATCTCTTGGGAGAGTAATCTAGGACAGGTGTACAGCACAATGCCATACTTCAAAATTTTGTAGGAGGTCAGTGAGCCTCTAGAGTCCAAGACTCTACATACTGCCATCAGGAAACTGAGCCCCCGCATGAAGAATGAGTATGCTTAAGGGAGTAAGTGGATCAAAGTAATGTTAATGCTCTGTTAATAGCATATTAATAACTCGCAACTCTGATGGCTTTTTAGTGGAAGTTTCCCAAAACATTAAACCCTCCATAACACTGACAAGGGACTAGCATTATACTTCATAAACCTATGCTTTCTATTATTGAAGTTAAACTTGATAGTGAAAGTAAGTCACACAGAAACTGTGTGCCAAAAGCACGTACAGAGTGCTTTCTGGAAAAAGGCAAAAGACCACCTAGAAGAGTTTCTTGAAAATCCTACTCTTTAGCCCTAACGTAACTCCCTCAAGACCCATTTACAGGTAGCAAGCAAAGGCCAGTGAGTAGTAAAAGGCTTCCTGTGCAAGCAGACTTGGGGGCTACTCAAGATTACCTAAAGGCAGCTGTCAATGCAACAGCCTATGCAAGAAACAGGATTGTTCCCTTTCATTTTTATCTTGAAAGGTGTAACATAGGACCGGTTTTGCTTTACAGAAGCCTCTACTTATCCCTGCTTACTAGGGGGCAAGTTACTTAGCTTCCTACAAGTTTCTTTTCAGAATCTGAATACTGACCTCGAATCCATTACCCCTTAGGGCACTGTCTCTAATCACCATCTGGCCCATAAGAAAAGCCTGAACTCCTTGCAGGAGCATCATGTTAATTTATTCATGGACTAATTGAATCTCCACAACTTTCCTTAGAAATAAAAGCCCTCAACCCCACCCCCAATCCTCAATGGCCCTTGGCCCGAAAAAGCCACAGTATGAATGATAATATCAACAGTCACATAATCCCTTTATTCCATCTTGCAGCTAGATGAGACATCTTTCTTGCACATGAACTTCGAAGAAAAGGATTACCACTATTATCTACTGACTTACTAAAATTCTGATTTTTTCCATAGCTATTGTGGAAAAATGGAAACTGCTTAAAGGATGTGTCATACCTTCATGTTGCTTTTGAGGAAGCTCTAGTCATGCTATGTCAGTGCACAAATCCATGGTCTTTAGTGCACTGTCAAATACACAAAGCCCAGGGAGATGTTCAAAGACCAGGATATCTGAGGCTCACTTCACATATAAACAGGGTATAGTATCTGTATCACCATAGTCATCATGTGTGGCTATACATTTAGAAATAATAGGCAGAGAGAATATGAAAATTAAGGTCACCTGGCATATCACTGTATTTGAACTAGGCATATATTTTTAAAGGAAAGGAAAGGGGGAGGGAAAAAAACATGGACAAGCAAAAATACTTTTTTAAAAAGACAGGAATTTCCCTCTGTTGTCATCATATTATAAACTCTTCCCTAACTTAACAAGAAGGAAGCTAAGAACGTATTTCCCTCTTTAAAAGTGTTTGAGAGGACTAAGTAACACTCATTTTTTGATGTTCAATCAGAACTTCTAACACAAGAACTTGTGTTGAGATCATGCTATGTATGATGAATCACACAACATACTTCACAAAGCTCTGAAACTGGATGTGTAGGTTGGTCACAACTAGGGTTTAGCAGACCGGTAGTCCAACATCTTCTTTGCAGCAACTCCTAAAGGTCTGGCAAAAGTATACCTACATTCCTTTTTTGGTATATTCGGATCAAAACCCTCATTTGCTACAAACACAGAAATCCAGGGCTATGGAGATGTCTATCACATCTGCCGACAGAACTCTCTCTCTCTGTAACATACTGTTAAAACCCATACAGAGCCCTTAACATATCAAAGATCCCACACGCATTAGACAAGCAACTGTGCCTAGCCAGACCTGTGCTCCTCTCCAAAAGGAGAATTTCAACAGCTTATGTCTGTGGACAGCAGCTCAGAGGTACATGAAGGATGGTCAGCTACAAACAAGGTTTCCCGATTCTTTAAGGCAGGGGGAATTTCACACAGCTGCCCTCTTGCACTCATTTTCATTAGCTGAGATAAGCCTAACACATTTTAGACCAGCAATTATATCTCAATTCTAAGGGACTGCCATTTGCCATTCAAAATCTGAACTGGAGATTTTCAAAGGTAAAAATAACTCCTGGGCACTTGTCCATTACCGACTTCTCCCACCGAATCTGTGTGTGAATCACAAGAACAAACACATTCTTCCACATTCAGACAGATCTGCAAAGCTGAAAGTCTTTCAAAAAATTGGAAGGTTGTAGGCAAAACACAAAATTGGCAGAGCTGCTCAAAGCAGTTTGCAGTTTGCCTATGATTACTTCGTTTAACATTGCAATGATTCCATGACAGTCAAACATCAGGCGCTGAATCTTTAAAATTCAAATTATGTAAAATGATAATTTCTAGGAAGTCGGACACTTATCAGAACCGCTGAATTAAAATCTCCTAACTGCATTACTTACTACAGGATTGGTAAAATTTTTATGTTGTTGAACTGAAGTAACTTGCAGGAAGCTTTAACACTGAGCTATGCAAGATATTCAACTCATGCCAGGAAAATTTTATGTTTTGTAATATTGTATGGTCAGCAGAAAGAAAAATCATAACCCCAGTAAAATTAAAAATCTCAGACGAGGTTTCCGAAATGAGATTATTCTGGCAAACATCCTTCTCAGAGTCTTTTACCCGTGTTAACTCATTCACCAGTTATCAGTGTTTTCTCATCTGTTTCAACACAAAGCAAAAACCAGAAAAAACCTCTAAAGAAAAAGTTAAAAATACACAAGTATTTTGCAGTTAGCTGTCTTGCTATTAAGTGTGCTGAGAGCTGAAGTCCTCCGCCACCGAGAACCCTTAACGAACACAGAGCTGCAAACCCTCAGTCATGACTAACCCAAAAGAGCAGACCGTTGTAAAATGTTAAAGAACTATAAGTAGATGGAGAATTTATAGCTTCATTATGTCACTAGTTACAGACGCACTTGTTATTTTTAAGAAACTTGAATGAGAGCCTCTCGACGGAAAAGAACATGAAAGAAAAGGAACACGATGATCTCCCACCACCGCGAATAAAGCGGCAAACACAGTAGATGCCACCGCGGACCGCAAAGCCGGTCCCGCTCCCCGGGGCCAGGCCCGGGGCTACCCCGGGGGGGCTGACGGGTCGCCCGGCCCCGCCGGCAGCAGCAGACCTACCCCAGCAGCCGCGCTGGACGCCGACGGGATGGGCAGCAGTTTCTCTCGCTCTTTCTCTCCTTCTTCCTCCTGCTCCTCCGCACACCCGCCGCCCTCCTCGGCTGACGGGGGCTCCGCGCTGCCATGGTTCAGCTCCGCGCCCGGCGGTAGCTCCGCACCGCTCTGGTTCAGCTCCGCGCCCGGCGGTAGCTCCGCGCCGCCCTGGTTCAGCTCCGCGCCCGGCGGTAGCTCCGCGCCCGGGTCGGGGGGTAGGTCGGCAGTCGCCGTGGCCGCCGAAGGGCTCTGCAGCGACATGGCCCTGCTGCCCTCTGCTCACGGCAGCCCCTCAACTCCCGCCGGACACCCGAGCCCTCTTCCTCTTCTTCTCCTCCCTCCGGCCGCCGGCTCCTAGGAGCCCGCACGGGTACTCCCTGCACCGCCGCTCCGCCCGGCTCGCCACGGGGCCGCCGCGGCAATGCAGCAGCCGCGCTGCTCCCGGGCGCTCAGACACCCCCGCGCGGCGGGGCGGAGCGCAGCCCTGCCGCCCCCGCCGCGGCCCGGCGAGGAGAGGGAGCGCGGGATGCACGGAACGGAGGCGGCCGGCGCCGCCGGACAGCGCTGCCCTAGCGCCCCCTCAGCCACCGCGCCACCTACAGACCGCGGGCGGAAAAGGGGCCGCCACCGCCATGTTGTTTATAGGCGGCTCATAGAAACGCGCTTGGCGACCTGAGGCGCCGCGCGGGGGCAGCGGAGGACACGGCTACGGAAACTCCGTAGCGCAGAGAGAGCCGAGGTGCCCGCCGGGCATACGGCGGCGGGAGCTGACTGCCGAGCTCTGCGCAGCCGCTGCAACCGCGGCGCCGCCGGGCTGGCCGGGGTTGGGGCACCACTAGGGGCGCCCTGCGGCACCTACCTTCCGCACCCCGGTAGCGGTGCTTCTGCAGGGGGGGAGCGGCTGCCTCCCGCTGAAGTCGTGCGGGCGGCCTCCTGCGGGGCGAGGGCGGGGGGGCAGGCCGGTCACGGCAACAAGTAAACGCAAGAGTAGAATAGAACACTGCGGAGAAAGGACCTCGGTGTGGGGACCGGCGGGATACTCCCGCTCCTCCTTCACGTTGAGACAGGGTTGTGTGCTGCATCGCTGGCAGGGGCTGCGCCATTAGTGACACCTCACACTGCCCCATCACCTCGTGGTACTTTCATCACGGCTTCAAGTCATGCTCTGACAGGGAAAATACGGGCGTGAAGTGAAAAACCTTAGTCCTGCCTGTTCCACTGGCAAAGCCAGAGTGGTGCCAGGGCCTGTGCAATGGTGGCAGGTCCTGGCCCTTCATTTGGACAGGTCTTGGGAACCCACTGTCAAAGCCCAGGCTTGCTGAAGCTTTGCCGCAATGATATATATTTAAAAATCGTCTTCACGAGGTGTGATATATTGAACTGGTTGAATACAACATCCAGACTAGATGTAATGCAGCATTTATCTGTGGGTACTGACCTACCACGTGGCTGTATATGTACAGGTATGGAAGTCCTTCTGCGTGTCAGGGATGCAATGCTTGTGTATGCTAAGCTACAGAAGATTTAAACCCTTTAAACCATTCTCTGCCAGAATGAAACAAGTTTCTCTAAAACCACTGTAATTTTGTGTCTGGAGAAGAATTCCCCTCCCAGCTTCAGGATCAAAGGAGTGTGAATAGCATTACAGACCACTTGAAACAAACCTCCAAAATTGTTTTTCAGATAGAGGTAAAGCCACATGATGGCTTTTCTCAGTATTGGCATTACACAAGTAAGCTCCTGCAGATTGGAGCTGTGGTAAAGATCTCTGTAAGCTGCATAAAAGCAAGGGCATAATAGGTACTGCAGAGTTAATCTAACACATAGAAAAATGCTTTCCTTTTTTGAGGGAACTGGCAGACCTGGAGTTTATTAGGTTTCATTAAGAAATCACTTTGTCTTCTTACCAAATTAAATACGAGAGCTGGTTTTCCAAGAAGTTCAGTCCTCACTGTGCGTACTTCTCGGTTGCTCTCAGTGGTTTGCATGAATAAGTGACCTGCTGTACTTAAACAAAGCCCTCCAAACACTCACTCATCTTTTTCCTCTCCATGCCAAGAAATAACATAATGATAGTAATTGCAACGACTTGAGTACAAGCAGCTATACATCCAGTGGCAGTCCCCAACTGGAAGTAATTGGCACAGCTGTTTGGTGGAGCTGTGCCAGTTTGAAACATGGAAGGATCTGCTCCCTTGAGCCTGCAGAGAGAGATGAAGCAAAGAGAGAGATGAAGCAAAGATGAAGCAAGTGTACAGATGCATTCATAATGCTTCTTTTTTTTTTTCTTTTTTAATTCCAATGAGCAATAAAGGCCTGATTTTTGATAGCATCAAAATGCTTTTCTACCAAGATTATTTCACAAAAAGCTAATGCATCATCAAAGACATCAGTTTTTACTGTCCATAATGTCCTGTGCTATTTGAAGCAGAAGTACTATGTTGAATTAAACTAATTCAGGTATTTTGACCCATGACAATTATGGAAATAAGCAAAAAAAAGTGCTGTTAAATTTTTTTCTTCCTATTTTTATAAGAGAGCAAAAAGACCACATACTGAAAGAAGCAAATGCGTTTTCCTACTTCTAATAAAGGTAGCATGCCTCTGGTGCCTAGGGTTTGTAGCTAAAAATATTTCAATTTAATTTATAGCTCCACAAGGCAGTCAAAGATGTAACCACAGCTGGGAAAGGCATGTCTAAACTGGCTTTCAATCTGCTAGCGCAGCTGGATGCTAGCTGGGTGCAGCAGTGCTACATGTAATGAGGCAATGCACATAAACCCTGCAATCATTTGTTGCCAAAGTGATAAACCAGGGTAGCGGGCAATGGAGAAGTCAGAAAAATAGGATAAAGATAGTCTGTCTTCTCACAGAAAAGGTTTGTGGGATATACAACATTTTGAAATACTAAACAGGTATGCAACTACCATTTTACAGGACTTCACCAGTATTTTTGGCCAGATGGCCTGGGAGCTTTGACAAAGGGTCATGCACGCTCAGTGTCTTTTTGAAAGTGCAGGCTTTTTGTTTGCATCACCTTTCATAATACTTCCAGTTCTTTCTTTGAGGCTAATAATGCTTTTGCTTACCTCAGTGGTTGCTTTTCCATCTCCAACTGTTACTGTATTCCCTACTTTATCCTTCCAAGGGCTCTTTCCTTTATTTTTTGTTCTTAATCTCTTCTGAGATGCTTAAAAATCTTAAATCACATGGTGCCAGCTACTTCACAGTATTTTTTGGTGAGTGGGGGAAAGGTGAAGTTCAACCCAAACCTGTTTCTCATGCTGCCTGGGCCTACACATCCACATGGGTTCCTGGATGAGTTTGCAGCCTGTGCTGGACCCCTCACTGTCATGCCATGCTACTGGCTCAGGTAAGCGTAAGTACACCCCTGAATGACTACAGAAGGGGTTGCAGGCAGTATGTGACCCTAAACATATTTTCTTGTACTTATGGGAGCACAGTTCTGCTTTAGCAGGGTGTTGATCCTTTCAACCAGAACAAAACCTTCCTGACAGCTTATTTTAAAGCCATTCATAAATATGTTCTATTCTGAAGAGTTTGAGCTGTCAGGAAGGGGAAGAAGTCAGCGACACATCTCTGTGCAATGACGTGGCCAGGCGCAGACCGCCACTAGGAATGACAGATGGAAACAAACCAAATGCTAACATTTTTTCACAAATGATTAGTAAATGCTTACAAGTAATAGATACACTCACAGAGACTGGCATTTGGGAGTGATGCACAAATGAAAAAAAATAAAAAGGGCTAAATTCCCTGGCTAGTATTTTCATGACAAATAATTGAGTGTACCTCACATGTTCCTCTGCAGTCAGAAGTCAAAATGCAGCTGTAGTCAAAATCAGACCTGGTTTAATTCAGAAGTTTTGGCCCATTACAGGTTTTTCCCTGGCCCTCAGATGCTTTACTAGTGGTTGCAGTCAAAGAGTGTCAAAGATCCCTGGTGCAAAGTGGCATTTTAGGAACTGAAGTAAGTGACCTGTGTCCTTGAGAAAAGGTAAGCTGAATTTCCTGTTCAGTTGATGATACGCTTTCATCATGCAGCAACACTGTGTCTCTCTCTTTTATCAAGTAGTACTGTTTCTTTCTCTTTATACTGTTTGAAGATCTTGTGCACTTCCGTGTACAAAATATTTGGGCCATTTAACAGATGTGTGCTTTGTGAGATGGACCCTCAGTGGGCTCAAGGGGAAGCACAGGATAGCTGAAATGTTGAAAGAACCAGCAATGGCTGGAGACAATCCATTTTCTCTCTGTGGGAGTAGGAGAGATAGATGGTTGGGAGTTTTCCAATACAACAGGTTTTCAGCAAAACATTTCAGTTTCACAGAAAGACCTGATTCATTGAACTGGAAATGTTTTACAAAGAAGCATCTTTTACAATGACCTTTTAGCAGAACTCAGGCAAGATGCCACTGAAATCCACCTGTTTATTCATCCAACTCAGTTGGAGAGCTTGTCACACTTGTGAATCAGAGACTGCATGACTTCTGGACTCCCTGGTCAGCTAACACCCAAGCTGCTCTACCCTTCTGTGTGCCACCTGCACACATCACCCATTAGGAAAGACGGAAATGCATGTCTGCCCACAAGTCATGACTGTTCTGAGAATGCATAGCCTCAGAGCTTGTAAGGGATGAGCCAGCCTTGTTCAACCTAGCCTGGCAGCCACCCACTTCCCTTGAAGCTGGACTAAGGTATAAATTTGGGGAGTTCTGTCCTAAGGAATCCAAATGATTGTGAATCCACCTACCACTGCTGGCAAGCTAGCCCAATTATGTTTATTATTCTTGCTAGGAATAGGAAATTATGTAAAAGTTGATCTTGTCTGTCTTTCAGTCCTTGGATCAGATGCCTTCATATGTTCCTGAAAATGTCCCTTTTTTTCAGGAGCATATGTGCAAGATGCACTCAAACTCTCCTGAGCTAGGTCCACATTATTTCCCCTATGACTAACATTAGATTAATTAATCTATAGCTCTCTCTATATAATCTATATATACTTACCCTTTGGCTGTCCTCCAGTACTTGGAAAGCCACATTTTTTAAAGAGTTTATAAACATTTAGAAAAGTGGTTCAAAGGACTCCTGAGCTAATTCACCAGAGGCACTTACATGCAAGTTACCTAGCTGTTGTTTTGTCTTGGCAGATACTCAATTACATCTTTCTCTTTGGCAAATGGTAAACTTCTGATTGAAGGTACATCATTAGCTGGGAAGCATCCTGCTTGGGCATTCCTAGTACAGAGAAGGAAAAGGTAATCAGAGGTAATCAGCAGTTATATCTTATCTGCATCATAATACTTGCACTTTGGGTTCCTTGTCATTGCTAACTGCTGCAATACAGCATCTGTGCCAGGTAACTTAAGAGGCTTATGGACACTGACGCCTAGGCAAGAGCTTAATTTTTATGTTAGTAATTAGCTCTTTTTTGTTTGCCTGAATAAGCTTGCCATAGAACAGGAACTTGGGGTTGAAAGAAAACATTATACTCTAGTTTAGAAACATTGTGGCTATTTTAGTGATGTCCAGAGTGAGGTTATCTGTGATAATGCAGTGTATGCAAAGACTGGAAGACAGACACAGGAAGAGAAAAATTCACCAAGTGAAGAGAATTAACATAGTGACCACACAATATTTACTACGATTTCCATTTCTTCTCTCCAGAAAGTTGGTGTTTGTTATTCTATCTTTAAACTTCAGTTAATTTCTCTTAAACTCTTATAAGATACATCAGTAGCATGATCTGCCCTGAGATATAGCAAAGGACAAAAGTTAAGGGTAGGAAATAACCCTCTGTCATGTCTGATCTGGAAATTGTTTTTAAGTGAGGTAGAGGCAGATATTACATACAGAGTTTTGTCCAATTTCTATTCAAACAAGTATGCCATGCTAAAGAAGGTTCAAATGAGGAGGCAGTATGTAACTGTCATGGTGTAAGCCCAGCTGGTTAAGTACCACAGAGCCACTAGCTCACACACGGTCACCTCCCACCCTGCCCCAGCTGGCATGGGGAGAAGACTTGGGAAAAGATAAAACCTGCAGGTTGAGATAAGAACTGTTCAATAGTTGAAATAAAGTAATTAGTAACAATAATAGGAAATACAGACGGAGAGGAATAAACCCCAAGAAAACCAAGTCATGCACAATACAGCTGCTCATCACCTGCTTGCCACTGCCCATCCCATCCCTGAGCAGCAAGTGGTTGCTTCCAGGTAACTGAGACAAGGGTGGCACAAAATCACAAAATGGAATGTATAAACCTTTAGAATCAGTTTTAAGTAATGTTAAGTTTGATGGCTTTGTAACAGTAGCAATGGAAAATTACTGAGGTGCATGATATACAGGAAAAAAAAGAGTACAACTAGAGAACACACTTAGAATTCTTGTACAAGCTAAATCGTTATAGTTGACATAGTTTTAAGAAAAACAGTCTAGAAGAACAGGACACAGGGACAAGGAGTATTTGGGAACCGCAGGTGTCCAGGATGGGCTACAGTTAAACTAACTGATAAGTAGGAGGACAGGAGCATTATTATGTCTCTGGTGCTAACGAACCAATTAAGCTGGTGTAAGCATCTACTGCGTGTGCTCCAAAGGCAGCCAGAAGTGATGAAGATTGTTGGAAGAAGTAAACAACCTTCAGAGACCACCACCACAATTCTGTACGCATGCAGGGAACTTTCTGGAAAATGATGTAATCCATATGTAGCCTCATGAATATGTATGTATGCCCGGGGACCATATAAGGACGGCTTGTGTACGGGGACACACGTTAGGAGGAGCTATCTCCTGTGTCTCCCGGCGCTGCAGTGAAGAATACTTGCTTGTCAGCGTGAAAACTTTGCTGGCAAGTTAGTTCCTGGAGTTTTCTCCGAATCATAACTCCCCCAGTTTATGTACTGGGCATGATGTGCTGTAGTATGGAATATCCCTTTGGCTAGTTTGGGTCAGGTGTCCTTTCTCTGCTTCCTCCTGGCTTCTTGTGCCCCTTCTAACTGGCAGAGCATGAGAGACTGGAAAGTCCTTAAGTCAGCACTACTTAGCGAGAACTAAAACATCGGTGTGTTATCAGCATTGTTCTGAGCCAAACACAGGAGTGTACCAGCTACTAAGAAAGAAAAAATAAATCTATTCCAGCTGAAACCAGGACAATAATGTTTAATTCAGAGAGTTGCTTCTGTACCTGTGTCATCATGTGACCCATAAAATTGTAAACCGCTGATAGAATTAACGTTTCTGGTTAGCATTGCTTTGTAATTCTTTAAAAAAATTGCCCAGTTGCTTTAAAAAGAGAACATTCTTGGACTGAAGTGACAACGAGGGATAATGTGTGTTTCCAAGATACTTCGCTTGCGTGGGCAGCGGGAGGGTGCTGGCGGCGGCGGTAGCCGGGGCTGCAGCTCCCTCCAGCGCCAGCCCGGCACAGCGCACGGGAGCGCTCCTGATCTTTGCGTTCGGAAACTGCTCATTAGCTCACAGACATGTTTGACATCGTAGAAATTCGTAGATTTAGAGCTTTAGAGATAATAAATGTGGGATCAGATCGTTTATACAATAATTTGTATATGTATCCAGGGAACTGATAGAGCAAATGGCATAGTCAAAATTAATCTCTTACGTTAGTTTGGGCAGGATTAAGAGCTGGATGTTTGAAGACTGTTGAGAATTTTACATCTTTAATGAAGTATGTGGTATTCCCTTTGTAATGTCTAAAGCAGACAGTCATCCCTGTGCTGTGCAGCGTGGATTCCAGTGGAACACCCTGAGCAGCTGGCACATCACTGCAGGCAGGGTGCTCCAGTGTGGGTCACACTGATGTACTCCCCAAGGGACTTCTGAAAAAAAATCCACCAATGTAAGTAGTATCTGGATATGTCTTACGGGTACTGGCTGGCTTCTCTTGCATAAATACTCACACTCACTCATAACTTGTACCTTCCTAAACCATTTTAGTAAAACCTCCTTGTCCAACACAGAGAACAAAAACCTCCAGTTGGTATGTGTGGAACAAAAAGAGTGATGCAAACACAATGTCATGATGACTCAATTGTCTTAATAAATGAACAAATAATGCTGTTTTGTCATCTTCTGCTCTTGCCCCACACAGAATCGCTGTATAAAAAAAAGATACCCACCACAGTGTTTGACTCTAGTGGCGGAGACTTTATAAAAAGCATAGCATTGGTCTAGATAACAGCATTGATAATGTCTGTATTCTTCCTGAATAATTCCCTTTTAAGATATGTTTTGCTTTTGTACTTTTCTTGCACAAAGGATCCTCACTTCTACGTAATCTGTAATAGGGTCATGCTCACTGGAGTCCCTGAGACACATAGTAAGGCAGCAGAGAATACTATAGTTACAAAATACTTCTCATATAGAAGCAAGAGATATTAAAACAGCTGTACCAGGTCCCTGTATAAATTACTGCAATTTTTTAAAGTGAAAACTCTGTCTAATGACAATAAATCTGGAAGCATTTTTCTTGAGACTGCCTTCTGCTCCTGGCTTTGTTGGCCAATGCTGGTAGCATGAGCAGGACATCACTTTCCTTTTCAATCTGACTGACAAAATAGCCTCATCCTGATCTTCTACCCTGCACTGCTCCATCTGACTTCTGGAAAAAGAAGAGGGACAGAGGAAAACTTTGCAGAGCTTCCTGTGAACCCTCTGTCCAGCAGAAGAAGCATTAAGATGTGCGTAGATCCTTCCCATGCTGCAAAACCTGAATAGGGGTGATCAGGCATGCCCGCTCTGGCAGGGTGCAGAGGGGAAGCCAGATGAGGATTGCCCTGCTCCCTCCAAAGGGCTGAGCTGGTGCTTATAGCACAGTCTTCCACATTTTCAGCTGATATTGTGGAATTTGCTGTTATTGAGTATAGAGGTGTCCGATTTGCTGAAGAAGAGCTTTGCAGGAGTACAGGCTCCTTCCTAAGGCACTGGTGCCAAGTTATAACGTCATTTGTATTCAGCCAAGTAGTTCTATTTATAATAACCTTTCAAGTGACCCAATCGTACACTTGGTAAAGCACTTCTAAAGAAGGAGATTAGTTTCTATCTTTCCAGGATATGAAGTAGTGTACTATATAAATACTGCAGCTTAACTACTGTCTACTTTGAATGTCAGTTAGGATCAGGTAGTGTTTATACACTCCTAAATTTTAGCAGTTTTTATTCAGGACTTTTCAAATATGCATCAAGCTGAAACTTGGCATGTAAGCTGTCAGCACAGATGCTAGTTTTATTCCAAAAATAGACTAAGTTAAAGCTTTTTAAGGTGTCAAATGGATTATTTATGCAGTGGTTGCAGATGCTTTAGTTTTCTGGCTCTTTCAACTATACAGAAGCTTACTGTGTCACATCCCTCCCTCTTCCATTCTCCAACATAACAGTTCTGAACAGTGAGGAATAAGAAGACAAGTGATGACACTGGAGTAGTTATCCAGAGATGGTGTGCCCTGGAAACAGGCATAAGTAGCAGTCATTTTTGGTGAAACAAAACTATCCTCTTTGAGTCACCATAAAGAAAAAAAAATCAGAAGACATCTGAAGTGTTATGACACCAAATGATGAGATAGTTTGACAGCACAGTGAAAGGGAAGACAAAATCCTCAGTACTGTGGTGGTTCCCTGTCAATCCCATTTAGAAAAGCAAGAACCTTTTCCCAGGGATTACTGCAGAGGACAGCTCTAAATTCACCATGGTATTTATTGAGTATGTGTATTAAAGTCTAAGGCACCACAATTCAGAAAAATTATCTCCAGAACACTCTTTGAATGGTAAAAAATTGCCCCCATAGAATAAACCAAACCACAGGTGATCCCATTTGCTCCATTTTGCACAGGCAAAGAAAAGCCTGCTGCCATATCGTGATAACAACCCTGCGCTCTGGCAGACTAGAAAACAAAACCAGGAGATTATAAAACACAGGACCTTTCTTGCAGAATGTCCTGCCAACACCTTCAGCAGAGGCCAGACTGATGTAAACACAATCTGCCCTCATATACTTATTATATACTCATATACACATAGAATCATAGCATAGAGTTGGAAAGGACCTTAAGATCATCTAGTTCCAACCCCACTGCCATGGGCAGGGACACCTCACACTAAACCATGTCACCCAAGGCTCTGTCCAACCTGGCCTTGAACACCAGTGATGGAGCATTCACAACTTCCCTGGGCAACCCATTCCAGTGCCTCACCACCCTTACAGTAAAGAACTTCTTTCTTATATCCAATCTAAACTTCCCCTGTTTAAGTTTTAACCCATTACCCCTTGTCCTATTGCTGCAGTCCCTAATGAATAGTTCCTCCCCAGCATCCTTATAGGCCCCCCTTCAGATACTAGAAGGCTGCTATGAGGTCTCCACACAGCCTTCTCTTCTCCAGGCTAAACAGCCCCAATGTTCTCAGCCTGTCTTCATATGGGAAGTGCTCCAGCCCCCTGATCATACTTATTTGCAAGCATATTTAAATATAGTATCTCATAATATGTAGGGTTTTGTTAATTTTCTATGTCTTAAGAATACTTACAGGATGCAAAGATTGTGATCAGGTTTCACCTGAACTTACTTGTTTAACATGATCTTCAAATTCATAGTTATACTTCTTCCAGTGAGCAATTTACTCTTGGTAGAAGCACTTGTGCCAGTATGAGTTAATGTGCATGACTACTTTATTCTACCCCTCTTGGGGAGGCATGCTCCATCTGTTTGTAAAACAAAGAGAATGGTTACAGACAAATATTTTTAAGTTTAGATACTTTCATTCCACTGAAACCAACCTGACCTATGTATGAATAAAGACCAGTCACAAGATTATAAACTTGAAGGATTTGCTTATACATAATGCATATTCAATACTCAATCCTTTTCCTCTGAGGAATGGTAGACTTTCAACACTTTTTCTGGAGGTTTTAATCAGTAATTTCTCCTCTAAAATTTACTCCATATAATGATCAGCTGCATAATAGCTATAAATAAAAGGAAAATAATAGATAATGATACCATATCAAGATCTATTTAGTAGTCAAGACTTAACAACACCTACCTACAGTACTCATGACATGCAAATGTTTTAGTCCTTCCTCTCAGAATGAAACAATGTGAAGAACCCAAGCTAATTTCTTTGGGTTTCAGACAGCTGTTGATGAGAAATGATTTATGATCAGGTTTTGAAATCATGCCAGCAGGAGTTTGCTCTTCAAACAGATGCTCCAGTATACTATTAGGAAGGTCATATATCTCACGTCATCATTTGATGGGAACCCGGTCAGAAGTCTCTTTCCCTCCTGCTAAGTTTTCCTTGTGAAATAGCAGGCATGTTTTCTGGTCACTGTGTGCTCTGTGAATTATTTCTCTAAAAGCTTATTTATGGAAAACTCAGGGATCTGTTTTCTCAACTCTACAAACCTGGAGGTTGAACCAAATCATGTTTGTTAAATAAAACAAGCCTCAATGTGGCACAAATCTGAATCTTTTTTAATAATTTCAAAATGTTACATTAATTTTACAAATAAAAAATCCAAACCCACAAAGGATTGTTTTTTATCAAACCCTTTGCTTTTGAGAAGATACATGAAAATATAGAGATTGCATTTTTTTTCTAATGTACATAAAAATGAGACAGCCCAGCAAATTCAGGCAAAAGAATCAGTGTTTGTTTCAGTTTTTGCCTAGACCATCTCTAGGAGCTCTGTGAATGTGGGGATCTTCACATCTTACATCATCTGCTGCTGCTGTGTCAGCATAGAATCACAGAATGGTTTGATGGTTTGGGTTGGAAGGGACTTTAAAGATCATCCAGTTCCAACCCCCCTACCATGGGTAGTGACATCTTCTGATAGACCAGGTTGCTCAAAGCCCTGTACAGCTTGACTTTGAATGCTTCTGGGAATGGGGCATCCACGACTTCTGTGGGAAACGTGTTCTTATGTCTCACCATCCTCATAGTGAAGAACTTCTTCCTATACCTAATATAAATCTGCTCTCTTCTCCTTTAAAGCCATTACCCCTTATACTATCACTACTTGCTCTTATCATCCTGAGACATCATTTACACATAATTGTTGCATTCATACATAATTGTCATTTGTGTTTCAGTGATTGCGTGTTTTTTTTCTTTTTTCTTTTATTTTTCTTTTTTTTTTTTTTTAAATTAGAAAGCACCTCCTTACTCCATAATGAGAATTGCTCATTAGAAAAAAAAGAACCCAAACCAGACCCCAAAACCAGCCTTGCATTGCCTTTTGCGGTAGAGCTAGCAAGGGCACAAAGATTATTTTAGTAAGGGTCCAGTTCTCAAGGTATAAGCCACCCTTTTCTGCACAACTTTGAAACTGACAATACCTGCCCATAGATTTGTTTCAGGCCCACATTACTCAATTAGTTACTGCAGTTTCTTTCTTTCTAGCCTCAAATTCAACCCCAGGTTGCATTGTAATGTTTCCCCTCAGGACACATTATGGTTGATGCCAGAGCATTCAAGTTCGCAAGAGCTTCTTCTGTACTTGTCTCCAAGTGAGACAAATAGAAGCTGGATTTTTTTTTTTTTTTAGGTTACTCATACTTTGCTAGCCAGCAGTGCTGGGGTTTCCTGAATGCTTTCAGGTAGAATAAACCATTTCTGATGTTGAAAGAAGCTTTCCACCCCTCCCCACCCTCCAGCAACCTGCTGTCATCCCACCACTCCCCTTCTGTGGTGTTTTGTGTGGTCATGTGGAGAGCTAGTTATGTTTAAATCAGGGAAAAGCCAAGAAAGGCTGGCAAATAATTCGTAAAAAGACAGTGAGGGCCAGCAGCAGGGCCTGGCTGAGCGGTGGCTCAGTGCAGCACCTGAAGGTCAGGCAACAGCTCCAAGGCTGGAACTCATCACACTAATGTAGGTGCTGTACAGGAAAGGGCAACTAAATCAGTCACTGGGGGAGACTCAGGCAGGTCACTTCTGAGATTCAGAGCCCAGATTCAGTTCTGGTGCCCAGCTGCCTACAGCACAGAAAGGGAATGTACACATAAATTCTATTTTGCAAGAACTGCCCAAAAAAGGTACATGAAATATCTTTTGCTTGTGGTGTGATTTGACACATGACATACCACAGTAATCTTCCAAGGGAAAGAATGCTTTCCTAGTATATATCTGATATAATTAAGGATGTATGACTTAAGTACCAGCTCCTGGCAGTGGTCTGAAGTGATACCACAGGACTGAGATACCACACTGTGGTTTTGCTTCCCATCTAAGGAATTGCAATATGTGCTAAAAATACTGTTGGGCACTTGGAAATGCAGAGTGTTATCACATGCAGAGGGGGAGATGGAATGTCAGTCCCAGTAGAAGTCACCACAGAAGAAGAAAAATACAGCACTGAGCAATTTAAGGTAAGCCTTTTTGTGTTGCCAGCAAGATAAGATGGGACTGGGTCGACATTCTTTATCCCTCTCTCAACTCTGTCCCTTGCAGGATAAGAGATGACCTGCTTAGAAGTGAGTCATGGGTAAATAAAACTTACATAGGTAAGCATTTGCACCATATTAAGCATCAGTTTTCTGCCACACATCATACCTATGATGAAGAAATTGAAGTTGTTGTTTACCTCCCTGTGTTTTGCCACGGGAAGACATTTATATTTTATCTGGTTGAAGTCACTCATCTCTAAGGAGGAGTGGGAGGGGATGCTTGACACGCAAGGACCATGGTGACTCATCCTCCTCTCCAAATCCACTCTGTGCCCTGCCTCTGCTATCCCAACTCTGGGTGGCACACAATGACTGTGGTTTAAGAGAGCAGCCAGAAAAGGAGTTGTTCTGACAACCCTCTTAGAAAAAAATACCCATGGCCCTGTTTGAAATGGTGGTTACAGACAGTGGCATCTGCTGAATTATTTAAATTCATACATTCAGGTTCTACAGTCATACAATCAGAAAAGAGGGAGCCAAGAAATTTATACACAGTTACTTGTGAAGGACAATAAGGTAATAAACAGAATGCTCCAGATAAATAACAAACTAACCAAAGTGATTAGATTTCAGCCTTAGAGAGCTGTAAAGCCAACTCCTGCCCATTTTACCCTTATGAGTAGTTTCATTATACAACAATCTGCTTCTTAGTAAATTGCCAGTTATAAAAAAAAACAAACTTGTTCCTTTGCTTCTCTGTTGTTTTGCATTTTAATAATTCTAGTCATAACCATTAAAACTTGTGCTTTTATACTCCCATGTTGCAAAATACACATTACTCTTAAGCTACTCAATATCCATTATTTGCCTGAGTGTCAGTATAGCACCCACAGAAGAGGCAAAGTAAATAGATGCAGAACAGGTGCACGAGCTGGATGATGCAACTGTCTGTTCAGTCTGCCCATAGGAGCAGTGTGGCTCCTCGGGGCCATGAGCGCGGATCCACAAAGTGGGACTGAACAAGTTCCATGCCAAAACATTGACAACATCTGATATGCGCGAGAGGGATGCTGAGTGCACAGAACTGCGTGTCTTGCTGAATATAATACCATGCAAACACCAGCAGGGTTAGA